AGTCTATGGTTTAAGATATATTTTTGCATGAATGGTCAACAAAGTGTCACGATGACTTGATATACAAAAATGCTGATGTTTGTTGTCAAACATGACAGGCCTGAATGATTCACGGTACATTAAAATATGGTTCTCTTGCAGCTATGCTGTTTCTGTACTCTTCAATGCAATTCTTCACACTAAGTATGTGCATCTATGTTTTTGCTCTTCACATTGGCCATGCACGGTTTTCATGCATGAAGGTCCGCTGCTATATCATGGTAAGTGTATGGAAGATTCTCATGGAAATACTCCGTCCCTTCACATGTACTGCTGCTTTTGCTGGTTCTCTGTTGCTACCTCTTCCAAGTCTTGCTAAACCATTTTGCAATTGCCATGGTTATAATACTGTGCCTCCCTACCCATCTCACTGCGTCACTGACTCAAACACTCGCTCACTCACTCACTCACTGACAATACACTCACCGTTTACCAAGAAGGTTGATTTTACAACCTTTGCTGATACATGATTGATTTCTTTCTAGACGAAATACGGGGTATCTTTCCTCAGCCAACAGAAAAATGATCAGCATGTGGGTCGTAAAGCAAAATAACTAGTGCAAGAGTTACTAGTGAAAGTCCTTTGCGTACTCTCTCTCGTGCAATTGATGTGGCAAATGGGATTTCAGCCTCTGGGTTGGTGGATATGATCTATTGTCCCCACTTCCGCACATCTGATGCCTGGTCATGGGGTGGTGGTTGCCTATGGAAGCGGAAAGGCGGTTCTTGACCCGCCCTGTATGCGAAAACGTGCAGTTTTTTTTCTCTTGTGCAATGTGTGAATTTCCGTAGGATGACCAAGATGTAATCCTTGATGACTTTGGAGGACCCGTTGAACCTGTCAGAACTGATGGTAAGGAAGAGATGAGGTCATTCAAGTTCTAGTTGACGCAGCAGTTTGCTTTGGCTGCCAACTGTACTCTTTGCTGATAGAGCACTTTTCTGAGGTGAATATACACTCTTGTTAGAGTACATTGTTGACCTGATGGGTAGAATAATAATAATTGGTCCTGGACTTATCAGTAAGACATACAGTCCCGCCCAGGTTATCTTAACCTCCGTCATGTGAATATATCCGAGTTGTTATAATTATTGTCCATTGTGCTAAGATTTTCCTTATGACTTATTTAGGGGTGAAACGAGTATCGATTTTGACCAATCGATCACTCATTCATAATATTCGATCGAGTATCCGATTATTTCGAGTACCTTATCAAAATTCAAAATCCCTAGATTTGTGAGTTCTCGACCAATTCGGAAGAAATTATCTGTGAACATAGAACAAAAGTCGCCAACGTCTTGTACAGAGTGTAAAGTAACGATTTTCATCAGTACTTTCATATCTCAGAACGTTAACAGTTACTAACGTTACTTGCCGTGGTGATCGCATCGTCCAAGTCATAAAATACTGACTGAAAGGCATGCATAATGCATGCATACCAGTGGACGAGCGGTACAACCGGAATTTTTGAAAAATAGAATGCCAATACTAAAAAAACAAAAAAACAAAAACGAAAAACGACCGAGTGCAAAATTTCGAATACTCGCTCGTTTGAAATTTTCGAACGAATACTCGAATATTCGAACTAATCGTTTCACCCCTAGACTTATTGCTTCCCTGGAGTGAATGGGATTTTCGGTTTTTGACAACTTTGTGGTGGGTCTGATCTACTCACCTCCCACCGCTCAGGAGCTGCATCTGTGCCTTGATCCTAGAGGGTGGTAGCGTTCCTGAGGATGCGGAACTTGAAATTCGGTCTCCAGCCGAGTCTCACATGAACCGTGATTTAAAAAAAACTACTTCAATTGCTTCTCTGATCTGTTGCTTCCCCCAGGTAATGGAAGGGAGATCCGCGGTATGGCGATTCGAACGTTTGCTCTTCGTTCTATCTACCCACTGCCTGGCATGTATAAGATCTCTTGCTTCTGTGGACTGCGAGTAAGACTTTGTGCTGAGCATGCAATGATATGGTATATTGCATGGGTTGTTTGACTTTGATGCATTCTTGTGGTAACGTTATCCACGGCTGTAGTATGTCTCATTTTCCAGACAGCAAAGATAGGATCTTCACCTGTCAGCAGGGCAACTATCTACCTTGCTATTTCCCCCTCTGCCTGGCTTGTACATGTATTCGCTTACACTAGCATCAGACAGCAAAGCATGTTCCCAATTGTCTTCAGTCCCTTTTCTACTGTTAACGTATAGCTGGGCATGCACGCTGCCCGGGGGTATTGAATAGATACTGGCTAGTCAGTTTTTGTGTCATGTGACAATGTGGCACACAAGAGTAGTGAATGAAGAGACAATGTTACAGCATCATTATGACTGTAATGTTGGTGCTGGTGCTATTGATGATGTTGCATATGTTTCTGTGCTCTTAGTTCTCCAGTGAATTCTCCTCAGCTTTCCAAGTGGATGAGTATGGTACGTTAGGTTAATTGCAAACTATGTGAGAAGACCCAAAATATAGATATAGACAGCCCCAATATTTATCTAACCCAATGTAGCCAGACTAGATTGTTGTATACATTGCATGCATCATAGGAGCCATGTGTCATATCATGTTTCTCATGCTATTCATCCTTGCACAAGCTAGACTAGACGTCTGCGTAGGGACAGCTTGCTGGTGTGCTGCATGCCTTCATTGCTAGTTCCATGCATAGTTCTTTGCCCTACTGTGGCGGGAAGGTCATCCCGTGCAGCTAGCCGCAATGATCAGCTGCGCTACGGAGGTTCAGTTCCGGCAAACATGCGTGCGGATTTGCATTTTGCTGCTTGGTTTTTGATGTATTTGTAGTTAGTGCAAGGAAAGAGCTTGCTGGTGCAGTTGTTGTTTGGTTTTGGTTTTGAGTTTAGTTTGCTCTTTGTTGTTACCTGGTTTGAACGATCGCCTTTTGTGGAATCGTTACGCTCATTGTGGTACAATAATACAGTCTCCAGAAATATCGAATACATAGATGGCTTCATGCCTTTCTGGTACTCCTTGATCGACAATGACTCCTAGGTATATGCCCATCACCTTCATGCTACCTGTTTCCAACGGAATGGAGGAGAGTGTAGGAAACTTTATGCAAAGCCACAAAGACTCTTTTTTAGCCAGCTTGTTGTACGTGCACTGCGGGTATCGCACATGTTAAAGTCACTCTTGCCTTTGGGGAACTGTTCTTCCATCCAAAGCACCTTCATTAGGAACCTATATGTGCATGTTCAGTAAGCTACAGTTTTTGTCATTTCACCTCTTTAGTAGAGCCATTGTGCCGTTTGTTGCGAGCCCCAACCCCATTGTATGTCTTGCAACGCAGTCCGGCGAAGACAAAGCTGACTGGATCGGGGACATTTTGGAATGCCTTATGCCAACATACAAGCGATGTGCTTTTTACCGAATTTTTGAATTTTGAACTCGGATATTTATTTTTCTCCACCTGCAGTTCTGCCACAGTACAGTGCCACTATTGTTGATGCTGATCAATGTGTGACGAAGGATCAGCAGACCGTGAGGGTTACCATCAGAGCACAGTAAGAGAGTACTCAACTACACATCTGACAAACCAATCTATGTTACCATGATTTGATACAATGTCATCAGCAATATTTCCGGAGGTATCAAATTACTACTATTTATCATGGAGAGCTTTAGCCTGTGACCCATGATACATGTTGAAGTCTCGCGAGGCCTCCAAATTCGGCAATCTTGAAAAGGCAGAATCCGTGTAGTATGTACGTGGTGGTGATGTGCAGATATTGAATAGTCAATTTTAATTTTAGCATTAGTCACATGTTCTGAAAAGTATTAATTTTGTTGTATGAACTCACTGGCTAACTGGCCAACATTGGTTTTCAGTCAGCACTATGTTGCTAACCCTAACCGAACATTCTGGCCACTTGTGTTCCATTTCCGCAGATACACATTTGGACGGGTGCTATTGCAAGGACGCGCTACCATTCGCATAGGAATAGTTGGACGCACTGACATCCCAGAGAGTGTGAATCGATACGATGTAAGACCAATTTAACATGACGATAAATAGAGAAAGCCAAAATGAACAGAATCCAGAAGAACACATGCAGAAAACTCCCTGAAGTGATGGTGATACTGAGAGCAGACGTTATAATGATTGTATACTAACTATTACTAAGCAATGCAAAACAAAGCAATGACAACTGTGAAGTGTGGAAAGGCACCATGGCGGTTGAATGTCCTGGCCATAGAAAGCTAAGCTAGGAAAATTTCACACCACTACTCTATACCTCACACAAGTGTAGCCTTGCTCAACAATATTCACTAGCCTTTGGCCTAAGTATGCTTGAGCCTGCTGCAGTGATCTAGTTGTCACCAGTGTCCTTGAAAGAGTACTATTAAATGGCTAATAAGCATCGTTTCCTTCATTTTCTGATTTAACTTTGTTTGCAACTCTAGGTGGAGAGTGGGGGCGAGGACAGTTTTGACGTGGCTTTGCCAATCTTCCCAGATGGCAATAGCCCCCAGAATGGCGACGCAGTGTACATCAAATTGCAAGTGACTGAGGCCGGCAGCGATAATGCTGCGGAAGACATCTGGACGAAGACCAAGTATGCAGAGGAAAGCATTATCCCGCGGCTGGAGGATGTGCCGACCTATTTTCTACCCGGGGGTGCAATTAGCTTTAAGGTATGTTATATTTGCAGCAGTGTGGACAGACAAGCTCACCAAAGCCGCCAAAGCCTCCCTTTTGTTGTTGATGCGCTGTGTTTGAAGGTATTATATTGTTCCCTCTGCATGTTCGGTATAGACTTATATCCCAGTCGGTTCTATTCTCCGGATTTGAAATGATTGTATTGGATCAATGTAGATTGATTGGCTTAAATCTCTGTCTAAACTGGTGTGAATACACTTTGTACTGTGAAGCTCCGATACAGTAGCACTCCAGCAAGTGATCACGAAATGTGTTTGCTTCCAATGTGTCACTGTACCCGATCTTGAGCGAGCTGGACGCTTTTTACTGCGGGTATCATCTTTCTTTTGTTATACAGTGATGCGCAATGAAATTCAAGCGCGTGGGTCAAGCATGCACCGGGTATTGCGTAGCCCTAGACCTGCGAACACAGGGATGTGAACTGTAGCAGGGCTCAAACTTTACTCGCTGAATCGAGTATCATTGAGCAGCACTGTAGATGATGTAATATGCTACCACCAATGCCCGGCGTTGTATTCAAATATGAACGCACCCCGGCAGCCTTGAACACAACATCGCAACAAGAAGATGAGGATGAAGAATACGTTGTAACATTGCATCTTAATCTGTTTTAATTTCGGTAATGTCACTGTTCCACTGTTCATTGTGTTCAGATATGTAGTCAGACGTGTGCTGGTGACCCACGCAGTGGTGACGATGTGATAACGACAGTGTTGAAGACCGGCGGCCCTGGAGGCCAGGAGGTGAGACAGTGCATGTCAAAAAGAGAAATACCCGGGATTTGAAGTACATGTCAAATTTTGCTTACTTTACATCAACTGCAACAGCACAGTTGCACTCTCCAGCTGACCATGACGTATTGCCGCAGCACATCGTCAGCAAATCGACACCTTCATTGGCACTCAATTCCTTCATACAGCTTTTTCGATCATTGATATCTCGTGTCAGTGAAGGTTGATTTACTAGTAGCTGAGTGGCTAAAAGATAGGGAACATCACCCATTTGTACGAAAAGGGAAAGCATAACCGGCTTCGTGCAATTGTGATGTGGTGGGGTTGATGTAAATAATCTGTACAGGGCCGGATGCTACTGATTACCAATCTTGGTAATGTTTACTGGGGGGATTCTCTGTGTGAGATTTTGCTTTCTTTCACCGCTTATAGTCAGTTAACACAAGTATGTTTTGCTATGAGTGCCGGGCGAAAAAAATTATACGTTTTGCGTAGCGAACTCCATCAGGTCCGAGTGAAGTTTGTTGTTTACCTGCACGGGAAATTTGTTTTTGTATGTTAACTGTTAGTGTCGTATGCTGAGTATGTTTGCCTAGCCTGTGGTAAGGCAGGTTGGTTTGTGCAACACGGATTACAACCTTGGAGGACTGTGGACAGAATGCATGGAATTTATTCACTGTCCGCTGTGGTTTTTTTTTTTTTTTTTTTTTTTTTTTTTTTTTGGTGATCTTGCAGCCTGCATGCATTCCTGCCTCCAGAGTTAATTGTATTGTGCAATTGGTCCATCATCCCTATAGCCATGACTTGTTGTGCGAATGCAGTTGCAGTTCACGGAGATATCTTTAGGAGATCGTACTGGTTACGCTTGCTGTGCTCAAATTCAGTTAGTGGCTTCTGCTGACCCTTCGAGCATTCTCAACATTTTCGATCATTTTTGTTTTGGGTTCAGGTGAAGCGTGGGGTCACCGACGAAGCCCGAGGTGGATGCTCACCAGTGTCTGTTTCCATTCCACTTGACACAACTAAGGTCACTCTTGAGGTGAGAAACTATACAGGCCACATCAGGTGCTTCTATATTGACGTGTGAACCAGTGAAAGTACGAACTGGACCAAGGTATTTCTTTGGGACACTGTGGAATTGTCTTGGACTGCGAACACTGCATTGAACCATTCTTCAATGGGAAGCACGAATTGCCATTTCTCATTTGATAAAAATAATGTGTGTGGTTATCGCTTTCAAACTTAAAACTTGATTAAGGATATGTGACGAGTTGAGTAGTGCAGTCCCCTAGCACCTACATCACTACAGGAAAAAAAACTGAATGGTAGGCTGTGTTGTGTGTATATACATACTTGATCCTGACAACAGTGTCTGTTGCTAGTCTAAATTGCGCTGCTCATGAACATTCTGGTGTGTTCTACTTTCTCTCCTAACAGGGAAGAATCGACATGGACAACGCTCAGGCTGTGGACACGCGAGTGATCAATCCGTCCACTCCTTGCTCGGGAAACATCAAAGCCACGCTGCGTCGCACAGACGGGCTGCCTACAGTCTCAGTAAGATTGTGCGGGGGAACAGGATGCCGTCGATGTAGTGTTCACATGCACATATGCTCTGGTGCATTCTTTGGCCACCCCAGATTTTCATGATAGTCGTACATTGTGTTATGGTATGCATCTAGCATGTGCTGTTTCCCCTGCGCACTGGTGAAATAAAGAATACTACAGTCCTGTGTTCCCGTTTGGTATTCTCTTTGGTGTAGAGACTATGACGTATGTATTGCTCATTGACTTTGTAGACGTACATGTAGTGCTCAAGTACGAATGCTTCACCCTAATATTATGGTGACACATTGCGTGAAATTGATTTCCCGAGCATTTTCTCATACTGACTGTGGCGTGATAATTGGTTTTTTCAAGGTCTCCTGGTGGCCAGGATGACCCAAGAGAAATTTTTGAGTGGCTATTTGTCCGTGATGGTGCTTTGCATCCTGGTTATTAGTATCTAGTGTGTCCCTACTGTGGTTGTTATCTTTTCAGATTGGACAGAGAGTCGTCATACAAATGGATGTCACTGGGATCAACAGCCAATCGGTAGTCATATTTCAGGTAGGGGAAAGTAGCCTGCTGGCGATTATCTGAAGAGCTAGATTCAATGACAGAAAGTTATATGCAGTTATCATTATTTTGTGATGGAAAAATGATGTCGAGAGGACTGCAATAGTATCTGATTGAGATTGGTTCTCACATTGTATTCTAGCAATTGGCCGACATTTACTACAAAATGCATGCTGTTTGAGTCGTTCTGGTATTTCAGTCGGCTAAATGGACTGCTCAATATCATTATTGTACGTCAAGAATTGTAACCAGCATATTCATATGCTTCTGAAAGTTGCATGCATTTCTTTTTTAATGTACACACATACCAAGCTGTGATATTCATGCTTTGGTATCCTGTGTACAGCTAACATCGGTACTGGGCACAGTCAAGGTGATCACGAAGGAGCAGGCCCTCAATCAACCTGTTATTGTTGATTTCGATGTCACCGCTGACATGTCACCCGTACTAACGGTAAGGTGATGATAGGTATATGCGCAGTCAGCTTTCTGCCGCACACACTTAGCCTTGCTCTCCCCAGGTATCCAGCTAATCAAATCCTCGTGAGGGTGAGAGCTCAGCTGAGGGTCTTGGGTGTGCCCAGGGTAGAATGACGAGAAAAGGTTGCCCAAAATGAATTTTCCCTCGAAAATGTATGACATGTAATGTTATTCACCTGGGCATAGCCCTGAATTGGGGATTGAGTTCTAAAGGAAACGCTTGCAGTCTAAGGCCACGGATGCCTTATCTATTGGTCTGGTGCTAGATAATTCCTTGATGCCGCTATGCTGATTACAGCGAGCAATAGATGAACATGAAATGGACACTAGAAGTAAAAGGATCTGGTGGTGACACACAGTCAAAGGGAATGTATTACATGTCGGGAGACCATCAATGAGCCATGGTAGCCGGCGGGTGCGACAAGGAATGTAAGACAAAAGTTAGAGCAACGAATACCATGCATGCTCTCACAATGTGGAATACGCATTCAAATCATGTTTTGACACCTCACCTAATGGGTACGTAGTACATAGTACATAGTACATAGTGTTATTGATGCTGCTTATCGTAAAGCGCGAGACAGTGTTCTTTGGCTGCATGCCTACGGGCCTTGGTTCTGGAAAAAAACAACTCAATGGTCCATTGTTGTCTTTGCGTGTGGTTACTGTCCAGGTTGTGGCATATGTGTATACTGTAGCCAACGGTGGTGAGTGTGTCGTTGCTACTTTGACCATTGCCATCGAATTTGCCTTCCCGAATCCTGTGAGTTCTTGCTTGTTGCACGTGTAGTTAGCTTTAAATAGCACCGTAACACACATTCTATTGGAGTCAAGTGTAGTATGCCCTATGCAGTACAGGGACCCTGTCTAAGGCGACCCCTCAAGGGACGAGAAAAAGTGGTCCCCGTGACCAGGTGGTCTTCTTATCCAGGTTCAGTGGGTCACGTCGCCATATCCACATGTGATACATCATTTTGATCAGTGTATCACAGTGCACACACCTATGCTACTCTAGCACGACTCATGTGCCTGGGGCCCTCAGACCTGTCAAGTGTTGTGCATGCACCATGTACATCTACACTTCCTGCACGGATGTGTAGATCTACCATGCATAGTGCACCATGCAATGCGTACATTCATATGTACTTGCACTGTGTAACGCAGCCGTGGGTGGGCGGTCGTCGGTCACGTTGAGCAAGTGGTCGGCTTATCCGAGCTGTTTTGAATGTGAATGCGTCCATGGCAAGGAAAAGTGGTCGCCATAGTCAAGTGGTCGCCATATCCGACTGGTCGCCATTACAGGGTTTGCTGTATTTGTAGTATACATATGTAGAGGACTTTTAAAACCTACTTTGTCGACTGTAGTATAGCCGAATGGAATGTAACACTCAAGTTTGTCATCTGCTTGGCTAGATGATGAGTGAACATTGAGTACAATTTTGAGCCAATTGTGTTTTGCTCAAACCCACCACAACTCAAATTCGAGTTGCTAATCACTCTACGCATGCAAAGCTGAGCTTTCTTATGTTATGATGGTATGATAACATTGCTGTGGCGAGTGCTCACTTTCTTTCTGTTGCACTTGCTTGTATGCAGGTAAGGTTGTCCGTGAACCATGGTGGCCTGCTGGATTTGCGAGAGCTTGGCAGAAATACCAATGCTTACCAGTCGCTCTTCCAAGGCGAGGCTACGCCTGGCAGTACAGTGCGCTTTATGGCTGTTGACGAAGCTCTGATGATCCTGAAGCGAGATGCCGGACTGCCCGATACCTTCACGCCAGAAGTGGTATGACAATGGTTTGAAACGTTTGTGCACCTATTTAAGCTCTATTCTATATTTGCTAAACCCTCACACGTCCCACATGCTCCTGAGGAACATCAGACCACCGTCAAGTGCATCAATGCATTTCAGATGCACAATTGGGAGGTGTACTGGTGTTGACTGTGAGTCAGGCAGTGTGCTCGAATAACTTAGAGCATGAGAGAGTGATGCAACCATCTACTGGTGTACTAGCTGTGCTAGTACTTGTTAGCAACAATCCGAACTAGCGCACACACTGCACTGCATTGCTTTGTACTGCATTCAAGACTGACGTCATGCGCTTTGTTTTGCTGCGTAATCACAAATGGCACCAGCCCATTTTGCGGAAAAGAAAAACAAATCTTGCTTGCCCTGTTGTGCTCTTCCAGACAACGGATCGTGCTTCAGCAGTGTTTCTTTTCCCACCATCCCTCCCTATCCAACTTATTCACACCATCATAATTATCGTACCCACTAATCGGGTCCACTCTCACAACTGGTGTTATCTAGCTATTTGCTGCGGCTCTGCCTTGCGCTATATTACATCCATTTAGCATTGCAGCTCTACGTTGAGCTAACAGCAGCTCTACTTTGAGCTAACAGCAGCTCTACTTTGAGCTAACAGCAGCTCTACTTTGAGCTAACCGCAGCTCTACTTTGAGCTAACAGCAGCTCTACTTTGAGCTAACCGCAGCTCTACTTTGAGCTAACCGCAGCTCTACTTTGAGCTAACCGCAGCTCTACTTTGAGCTAACAGCAGCTCTACTTTGAGCTAACAGCAGCTCTACCTTGAGCTAACAGCAGCTCTACTTTGAGCTAACAGCAGCTCTACTTTGAGCTAACAGCAGCTCTACTTTGAGCTAACCGCAGCTCTACTTTGAGCTAACAGCAGCTCTACTTTGAGCTAACAGCAGCTCTACTTTGAGCTAACCGCAGCTCTACTTTGAGCTAACAGCAGCTCTACTTTGAGCTAACAGCAGCTCTGCTCTGAGCTAACAGCAGCTCTGCTGAGCTAACAGCAGCTCTGCTCTGAGCTAACACCAGCTCTACTTTGAGCTTCAAACCAGTTGTTTCGAAACCAGCACTCCTCAATCCAAAGATGCCTCTTTGTTGACTTGTTTGTGTGAGGGATGGGGCTAACTGTAAAGTATGAAAGAATGAGTAGTGCAACATGGAACAGGAAGGTGTGTGTGTGTGTGTGTGTGTGTGTGTGTGTGTGTGTGTGTGTGTGTGTGTGTGTACCATATGGTGCAGTGGTATGTGCAGCGATTTCCAATTGAGAGGTTGCGGGTTCGATTCTCGACGATTATGGTCACACACGTCTTTCTTCTCTTTCTCAGACTCCTTCTGACTTTTCTTTCATTCTCCGGGGTGGTTACCAACAGCCAGTGTATGCCGGACTATGTGGTGTGATGTGTGCGTGGGAAAAAATGAACAAAGACCAAAAGTAGGGATTCACTGGCCAGAAAAATCTACTTCATAGCTGTGTGGTGTAGACAAGGCTGAATAGTGGTGGCCAATTCTTCAGCCTTGCAAGCTGTTGAATGGTGTTATCCCAGCACAAGCTGCTGTGGCTTCTGCTGTAGCATCGCTATCATCGCCTCCGGCGATGGGCGTCAAATAGTCAAATGGTGAGAGAGAGAGAGAGAGAGAGAGAGAGAGAGAGAGAGAGAGAGAGAGAGAGAGAGAGAGCTGACCTAGGTGGAGAACAATCATAGTGAAGTAGTGAGGGTCCTGAGCTGCAATGGCTGTCCCAGCTGCATGTACACAGGTTTTGTCTGAACTGGTTTTAATGTCAGTGCAAAACATACTACCCACGTAGCACCTAATGCAAAAGCACTGCACCCCAAAGCCACTAATATCTATACTGGCATATCCATCAGCGTCCTCATGTTGCCTGACGATGGCAATGATCATGAAACTCAGAGTTGCAACAAACTAGGCTTGCTCCACTGTTGTAGTGTGTGTGTTTAAAAGTGTGTAATTGTGTGCCGTGTATGTAACTTACTTCCAACAGATCCAGGAGTACATCTCCAGCTTCTCGCCGGTTTGTCATGGAAGCCATGGAAATTCGGCGGCCGATATGTTCCTGGTATGTCGGGACACGGGGTGACATAATCGTCGTTAGGCCACGGTGACAGTTTGACTTGTGCTAGAATTGTAATTGTCATGTGCGGCAAACATGCTTTTAGCAGCAGTCCTGGTGTGATCGTGGGATTCGTGTTGTCACCCCGATATGCGCTATCAATTTTACAGGCTCTTAGATATTAGATCTTGGGCGCCTAATGGTTATTTGCAACAAAATCACATGTGGAAGAGAAAAGGACATATGGATACGAGTTAAGAGTAACTCTCCATCACTGTAACATGATACTATATACAGTCAGAAAGTGCAATAACTAGGCACAAAACTGAGGAGATGTGTTGAAGCTAGGTGTCAGGACGTCGAATGTTTCAGTACTCTGTCAGTTTTGTGCCTAGTTATTGCACTTTCTGACTGTATATAGTATCATGTTACAGTGATGGAGAGTTACTCTTAACTCGTATCCATATGTCCTTTTCTCTTCCACATTTATTTATGGCTCAACATCCGAGTTTCAAAATCACATGTACACTTCAAAACTTATCTGTACTTAAATGTAATGATGGACTTACTAGTAGCTGCCATCCTGCATGGCAGAGCATACTGATTCAAAAAGAAGCGGCTGGTCACTGGTGGGTGTCACATACATACCATTGCTTGTTGCTTCACACTGATGAGTGTCACATACCATTGCTTGTTGCTTCACACTGATGGGTGTCACATACATACTATTGCTTGTTGCTTCACACTGATGAGTGTCACATACCATTGCTGGTTGCTTCACACAGTATGCATGTGTTCTCCTCTCACTCTTGTACAGAACTCTGGAATTGCGCTTGCCTCCAATGTTCTGCGGTCAGAATCGCGAAGCCGTACGTACCTGGAATCGGAAATTGATCTCGACTCTTGGCACTTTCTTTACTCTCTAAACTCTACATGTACCTACGTTGAATGAATGTGGCTACAAAAGGCTGGACATGCTTATACTGTGCAGGATATCAGTGGTGTGGTACAGAATCATGCTTTTCCAATGGGATTATTTGTATCTTGTATTCTCCAGACCTGGAATGCCAAGTTCTGGATAAGGACGGTCAGCGTAGGAGGCGTCAGATTGGGGAGGAGACATCGCTGCGGCCCACCCGTCGCTTTGAGTGTGAGCAACTGATCTGGATCCCCTTTGCACGTTGTCACTCTGGTGCCCTCTACGACCTCTTGGTGTTCAATACCAATTGAGTGTCGGAATTTTCATATGTGTGTGTGCGTGTTTGTACGGTGTGCGTGCGTGTGTATGTGTGTGTATTGTTGGGCACCTTGTAAAGAAGACCTCAGGGTCTGTTGGGAATGCCCAAGTAAAATAATAAAACACAGTACAATAAGATCATGTACGTGACGTATGTGTTTGTGTATGTGGACGTGTATCTGCCATGTCATATAGGTGTGTAGGCATACCTGCATGTGTTTATATCCGACCAATATTATAGGAGACAGGAATGGCTGAAGTCTTAACCATCACAGTTTTAGCGGACATTCTGCCTTCTTTGCTGCTTTGGACTGCTGTGTTTCTGTTCTCAGGTTGGATGAAGCCTTGCACTCGTCTTCTGGAGAGAGATATCCGGCTGTACTGTGCAGAAAACCAACATCAGACACTTGATGGGAGCTGTCAGGAGACTGCGAAAGAGGCACTGGGATATCGATGCACCGATGATGGGTACTTTGAATCAGAGATGTCGAACAGCACCCACTCGTGGTGTGTCAATGCCATTGGTGGACAAATTCCGGACACAGTTGTATCTGGACCACCCCTGGACTACATGTGTTGGGATTACGATGGTAATATTTATCCTCTGATGTAGTCATATACTTCTGCTGGGTCAATGACTCAATACATTTGTTGCAGTTCTATTAGCGAATAGTATACCTGTACCAGTCGGAGTATGACAATTATATAACCAACCGGAGTGGGATAGTGATTGTAATAGCCCTGAATTTGGCATGCAGACACACTTGCACAACTGAAGAGGCCGAATCATCGGAATGTATAATTATAGTCGCAGCACAACCTTTTTCCAGTCCATGGCTGCACCAATTCGGGTAGATATCTTCCAAGTTTGCAGTGCCAGAAGTTTATCTGTACCTTTCTTAGGAGTACTAGCTCTAAATCATTCTACACTTTGTGTCATTCAGTGCCCAAGTCTAATGCGGGCTAATTGCTCTTTCGATGCCCTGCATGTGTGTGTGTTTGTGTGTGTGTGTGTGTGTGTGTGTGTGCATAATTTGCGTGTGTTGTGTGTGTGTGTGTGTGGGTGTGTGTGTGGGTGTGTGGGTGTGTGTGAGCATATGTGTGTGCATGTGCGCACGCGCATTTGGGTGTGTGTGTGTGTATGTGCGTGTATGTGTGTGTGTGTATGTTTGTATGTGCGTGTGTGTGTGTGTGTGTGTGTGTGTGTGTGTTGTTGTTCATGCAGAGTGTCGCTTCTATGATGTATTTTCGCCGCCTCTTGACTGTGATCTGACTTGTGATGGACGTGGCTACCAGAGAGCCGTAAACGGTTGCAGCATCTGTCGCTGCAATGACTGTAAGTCTAGTTGAGGGAGAGGGGCTGAATTATGACTGTCCAGAAGCAATCTAATCAATGACGGTGATTTTGGTTCAGGTTTAAAGTTTATTTTCTAATGTGCATGTACAAGCCATTGTATGCAGCAATTAGGCCAATTGTGTGAATAGTGAGTTGTTGTGCAAGTTTTGTATTTCCGTCTGTCACACATATGAAAGCACACAATTCTCATGTAGAAGAATGGAGAAGCCGATGAGAATGACAGACATGTTTTGAAAGACCCTGCTTGCATAATTTTGCATGTGATAATTATTTCATTGATGTTATCCTATCATGTATGCTTTATTTTACTGCAATGTAGATGCTGCCGACCTTGGTAAGTCTTGGGCTCTGCAAGGTTTGCCCTGCAACGAAATCGCAGAAGAAACGTACTCCTTCAGATACAACTACACAGCTGCCACTCTACGCTGTAGCTGCCACAATGCCGTGGAGCAAGGTGTGTTGAGGGGTTGGTGTGGTTGAGAAAATGTTCTTCGAGAACAGTGAAATATACTAAGGCTTGACAGTGAGAATGCGACTCGTGGAAAAACATCACAGCAGCAAGTTGTACTACATGTCACACAGAGCAGAGTGCATTGGCTGGACACCCCCCCCCCCCCCCCCCCCCGTCAAAGTGCAAGCCAGGCATGACATGTGAGGCCCAGTGAAGTGGAGTGATATACAATGAAGCAAGGCTTGCCAATACCCGTAGATGCAGTGTCAGGGGCACATCGGTTAATCACGTGGAGTTAAAAAGAGGCCACTGTCAGCTGAAAATATTCGCTAGTTGAGGAGTAGAAAAGGAAATATTCCCGAAGAAAAAATTGACTGCCACCACCATGACACTAGCCAGGGGAAATACCCTCGCTTTAGGCCAGCAGTGCTTCACCAGTAAACTATGGTGTAGTTGCCATACCAACAGAGACCATTCAAACTTTTCTTCAGAATTCGAAACTCACGCTTCCTGCACAACAACACAGGCTAGTGGGATGCAGCCCTCACTGTATTCACACACACACACTTCACTCACAAACTAGTATGATGAAAAGTCTGTCTTAGTAGAGTTTAACTTTCTATAAGTAGGAATATAGGCTCCAGTCCGTTACGAGCAAATAGAGTTGAAGTGCAGCCAACAGCTAATACCGTACTTCAAATAGTAGAGTTTCACAAAGTTATAGCAAAGTCTAATGTTATCCTGTATTGCATGTCTGTTCTGTCTTCTCCAGGAGCTATTCTTGGGCACTCCTACTGCTGTCCTATTGGTGTCAGATCTGCAGCTCAACCCCGAGCGTTCAACTTCAACTTTGCCGCAGCTCCAGTGAAGCGGTTTGATCCTAGCATCATCACGACCCGCAAGAACTTCCGGTCAACTTGGCTACTCGACGATGAGCTTGTGTCGTAAGTTACTTGACATAGCACTACCAAAAGAACGGCGCACCCTCAATGCAGATTGCTTGGGTTGCATGGCAGAGGAGAAGTTTTTGAAGGCTATGTGTGGTTTACGCTTGTTGTCTACCTTCAGCAGAACTGCTCAATATATCCGGGTTTGCTTGTGGCATATTATGGTATCCATGTTTTAAGCAGTTGGTTCTAACTAACCGTCTATTTTGTGAGATGCTCCAGTTGAGTTCTCTAATGAACTTTATTATTACTTGCTGAGTAGTGTGGCAAGCAGAGAATGACGTTTCATGTTTATAATATATTTTTTTTGCTAAAACAGAGATGCAGCTGGTAATGCTATTCTGACACCGAAGAGTGTTCCGCAGTCACTGACGTCCTACCACATCTTCATGACGGCCGTACACGATCAAAACGGATTCGGTATGGGATCTGATCTCCTGACAGTCAGTCGTCAGCTCCAGGTGACAACCACTTGCCCAAAGACTGTTCGCCTCAACGAGGACTTCAACGTGCGCTGCACAATCAGGAACTTCTACCAGGCGTCCCGCACGGTGAGTCCAATGCTGGTCCGTGCATGGGTATTCACGGTAGACGATGCTCAACACCTGGACTGACACTACTCACGCAGATATACCTAGTTTATCTGGACAGTATCAAATATTTCATTGCCCCACGTTTACCTTGCAGAAACTTGGATCATGTTCCTCTCCTTTCATAGCTACTTAAAAATTTTGCAGTCATTATAACTGTATTGTTGCATGCAACTCTGGAGGAGAGAACATTTTGCCTGATAATTCCACTCAACCCGGGTGTACAATATACAGTATGAAAATAATGGCCACGTCGGTGCCGCTACAGGCATGTGTACTTATTGAAAAATCAATGTACTACTTCAAAGTAGCATTCCTGGCCAAGAAATTTGCATCAATGGTACTTCTTTGGGTCTGTATATTTTCAGGCTAAGGATCAATTTCCGTTTCTCTGCTGCAGGTTAAATTGACGATTGACATCAGTTCTGAACTCTGCCCTGTCTCAAATCGCGGCGAAGTCGTCATTGGCACATTTGAAATGGCCGGAGAGTCAGTGCAGGCTCAGAACATCATTGTCAAGGCTTTGGAGCAGACCACTAACGGCCCAGCCAGGGTCAAGTGCCAGATACTGTCTACGCATGAAGGAGATGCAGATGAAAGGGAAGTCTTCGTTGAGGTAATTGGAAGAAAGGGAACGTTAAATACATTGAAAATACATGTACATGCACAGTACAACCTGTCAAGGTGACCACTCGGATACGGCGACCACCTGTCCTAAAAGACCACTGAAACCAGGACCAAGGGATGCTATTTCCAGTCAAATGACCCTGGATAAGGAGACCACTTGGTAACAGAGACCACGTTTTGAAGGTCCCTTGAGCAATGGTCGTCGTAGACAGGTTTCACTCAATGTGCATGCAGAGATGTAGCAAGAGAAGAGCTGCTGAAATAGTTCTCGATACGCTGAGCACAGTGTTTCACAGACAGAAGACACAAGACAACTAGGGATGGATCACAAGAGGTCTTTTGTGTTCTATGTATGTTTGTCCACTAAGAGATTGTACATGCAAAAAGGTTTGATAAGAGGGGGGGGGGGGGGGGGGTATGTGACTATACATACATGTAGTTCTGTGAGTACTCCTATAGCCTGTTGGCATGCAGCATGTACAATGCGTTTTCCTGGTGTTTTCTGTCCGGCTGTAGGCTGAAGGCGAGGAGGCCCATGCGTCTGTGAACATTCCACTTAATCCCGATGGTATGTGTCGGAAGCTGTGTTTGCAGCCAGCGCTACCCGCATGCCACCTGGAACCTACTGTGTTGGCCGGTGTATTGGACCATGCATAGCTTTGTACTACTGTGTTGGCCGGTGTATTGGACCATGCATAGCTTTGTACTACTGTGTTGGCCGGTGTGTTGGACCATGCATAGCTTGGTACTACTGTGTTGGCCGGTGTGTTGGACCATGCATAGCTTTGTACTACTGTGTTGGCCGGTGCATTGGACCATGCATAGCTTGGTACTACTGTGTTGGCCGGTGTATAGGACCATGCATAGCTTGGTACTACTGTGTCGGCCGGTGTGTTGGACCATGCATAGCTTTGTACTACTGTGTTGGCCGGTGTGTTGGACCATGCATAGCTTTGTACTACTGTGTTGGCCGGTGTGTTGGACCATGCATAGCTTGGTACTACTGTGTTGGCCGGTGTGTTGGACCATGCATAGCTTTGTACTACTGTGTTGGCTGGTGTGTTGGACCATGCATAGCTTTATGTGATGTGCAGTACCACTAGGATCTGAGTGATGGTCTGTGTACTGGTACTGTGTACCTTATAATTATAACGATGCAGTGGCGCGAAGTCCATAATTGTTTATTCAGTATGTGCGAATATGTGTATCTTATAGTCCGGTACGTCAGGTTTCGCTTGAGATCTTCGGACAAGAACAGAACAGATGCTGGCATGCTTCGCTCTCTGTACGCGTACAGCCTTGTAAAGTCGCATATGCTTTTGCAAAGCCGGTTCGTGTATTGTGCCCCATATACAGGCGATGTCAAATGTCCGGAGGGGATTTGCCAGAATGGAGGAACGCCGCACGAAGGAGTCCTGTGCTGTTACTGCGAGTGCCCGCCATCTCACACCGGACAGAACTGCACAGAGCGTAAGAAATGCTTAGCACATATCCACTCAGAATACATTTTGCTTCATGACACGTGTCAGCGGTATAGTTATAGAGCTTGAATTGTACCGTTTGTGTGTTTCGAGTCGAGATTGGTTGAACTTCACACATCCATTGTAGTGACAGGCACTTACCGAATGTTTAGAATAGAACAAGAGGAAGTGCGTGTTGAAATTGTTCAGTATGGTGGCGGGTGTTTTCTTTCCTTGTGTGCACAGGTGTCTTGCCTCAGCAGGGTGAACCTGGTAAGTTGTGCTTGACTATGTTTGTAATTCATATGCTCCCTTTACGAGGTGTATTAGGTCTTCTCACTAAGTGCAAGTAGTTGATTATGTGCATTAACTTTGATGAACATCCAGTGTGCAAAATTAATGTCCTCCTGTAAAGGTGCTTTGAGATGTACGAGGCTTTCATCCAGTCATCAAGCAAGGATGATGCAATCAAGGTCAGCTTAGGTAGTGAACACCTGTTGTCAATACCAACACTGAAACGGTTCTGTTGTTAATCTGGTGCAGTGCATTCCGTACGTGTGACTCCGAGGATTGTCTTCCTCGAGCGAGAGGATGACCTAATTTTGAAATGCACTGCTGAGTCTCTTCTGGTAAACTCGCCTATCGATGACACCGCCACATACCTCTGGGTCCGCAGGAGCGGTAGAGAGGTGCGGGGATCCCTGGAGAAGCGCACTAGTCCAATGCTCCGAGTGAATTCGGTTAGTTCCATCAGTATGTGTTCCTGTATCTTCTGTGTATGATGTGTGGGCAATGCATTGTGTCTGACTGTTCATGATGTGTGGGCAATGCATTGTGTCTGACTGTGTATGATATGTGGGCAATGCATTGTGTCTGACTGTGTATGATGTGTGGGCAATGCATTGTGTCTGACTGTTCTTCAAAGTTTATTTGTCATCATAGTTATTCTCTGGTTTGAGGGAAAGAGACAAACGGGAAAAGTCTGAAGAAACAAATGACTGTCACCACCAGGATTTGAACCAGGGACCTTGGCTTGAGACCAGCCATGCTCTAACCACTGAGCTAAGTTCTGATTCTGTTTTCTTGAACGATACGTCAGGTGTTCTGATCACACGGTACCATGGTTACCATGGTTACCTGACCTCTATATTCAGCAACACTGGTTCTATACACTTTCACTGTTGACAGCCCACAGCTTATTGAAAAGACACAGAGCAAGAGGCATGCTGTGTCCCTTCAGCTAATAATTGGCAACTTTGACAAGAGACTATGCACTATAATGGTGAGATTCCCATATTGAACTTTGTGTTGCGTATCCTCTGTGTGGTTTTTGGTAATTTTAATTCCAGATTCAAGCATCCGAACAGGATGACTACATTTGTGAAGTAACATGGAGAGGACTGATCGCGACGGATTCCTCTAAAGTCATCGTCGGTAAGTGCATTTACCATTTTTGTCTTTTTCTATACGTGAATATTGCCCTGTAAGGCGTGTTGCTCTTGTCAACTGCTGATAACGATGACAGGCCCTCGTATCTAGTCAAGCTGTATGGTATTTTGCAAGGTGAAGGCTAGCGTCAGCGTAGTATCAGAATGTTCAGTGAACTGCTGACCCAGATACTTGCGTTGTACTCTGGACAGTCTCCAAGCCCCCCCCCCCCTTCTCTCAAAGGCAGTGGCAGTCAAGGAAAGCTACACACTGTAAGCAGGTGCATTGTTGAGTTTTAGTTTTGTTCGACTGATAGCTTTCTTAGACCACGGTAGGGCTTTCCTGAAGTACAGTAAAACCTGTGACTAACGACCACCCCTTGGGATCAGAGAAAGCGGTCCTTAGTAGCAGGTGGTCCTTAGTTAGAGGTTTGCACCGCACAACCATATATTATGAATGTGAGACCGTCCGTGCCTGGCGAAGTGGTCTGTAGTAGCAGGCTGGCCGCTAGTCAGGGTGGTCTTTAGTTGCAGGTTTTACTGTAGTACCAGGCTGGTCGCTAGTCACGGTGGTCTTTAGTTGCAGGTTTTACTGTAGTACCAGGCTGGTCGCTAGTCACGGTGGTCTTTAGTTACAGGTTTTACTGTTCCATCATCCACAGCCATGCTGGGAGTCCTCTATTGTATGATCTACATTAAAAAATTAATCAAACTTGAAGTTGAACTGTTGCGAAGGAACTGAAGATGAAGTCTACACATTTTTGGAGGTGATCCTACAAAAAATACGAGATTCCGTGGAAACAGCCCATGGCAACAGCTCAAACAGGGTATGAATTTTGCACTCCACTGTCATGGTAAGCAGAGAAAGATCAGAATCCTTTCATCATGAGTGAAGTTATGCCATTGTCTAAATTCATTTTCTTCATGGTTGCTAGAGTCCAACTGGAACACGAGGCCATTTGGATGTGTGCGAAGAAATGAAACATATGCAATGGCCTGGATGTAACTAGTCTTGTTTTTTGCACCATTGCTTTGACTTGCAAGCACCTCAACTCCCCAACCTTTATTAGAACATGTTCTACCGAAAGCAATATCAATTCTCTACCGAAAGCACTAGCGAATCTTGATTTCTAGGGTCTTACCAATAAGGTGGCATTTATTTATTTCTGCACCTGGTGGCATGTCAAGACAGCCAATTGAATTGAGGAGAGGCATGCAAGCTATCATCAAAATACTGTAGAACGGGAAATTTTAGCGACTATTAATTTTAGCGAAAATGAGTCGATCGCTCAATTCGCTAGGGTTTTTACGTTGCTAAAATTACTCGTTCTACAGCACCTACTTCATTGAGTGTTGTTTTTCACTGAACAGCGTTTAACTCACAACAATGTATTTTCTTTCTTGTTGTATCGATCATGCATTCAGGATCCCACTGCCCGTACAAAGGTGCCGTCAGTGACAATCCCTGTGCTCTCCGCTTCTTCAAGCCGGGCAACCCCATTCCATCACTTGTGGAAAGTAAGCTGACTGTCCTTCTGACGCATAGTAGGTAGCCACAAGGTGGCAACTTAGTATGGGCGCTCTAGAAGCAGGACGGTAACGTCTCTCCTCTTCTCTCCTTCTATTTCGGCTATTTGCAGACATTCTGAGAATCCCTGATGGCCTCGGATATAAACTTTACGTAATTGTGACCATGATCTGGTGACAGTCCGCAGGTACATGGTTTCCATTGCACTGACTCAACCTGTTCTTGAACTGTGTTCAATTTCTCCTTCGTGTGCAGTGGTGAGAAATCCAGCAGCGCAGGAGGAAGAGATCGTTGTCGACATCTCCCCTCCCGCGACAGCTACTCCCAACTCCATGCTGTGTAGAGTATTAATTCGAGGTAAGCAACTAGACGTGTATCTGAGTGGTGCGATGTAGAGTATTCAATACATTTACGGAAGCCATTATTGCACATTGCTGCATCTGTGCTGTTTGTGGTTGATACTCTGGCAGGACAATACCAGATGCCTTTGCCTCCCTTAGACCTGCTGGAACCAAGTACTATCCAAGACATGGTCAGAATGCCAACTGGCTGCGGCGAACAGATGATGATGTCCTTAGCACCACTTGTATACGCTATGAACTACATGGATGACGATGGCTTTTTAAGTGGCAAGGACGATTTGAGAACCGACGGAAAGTACTACATCAATGAAGGTATGATTCGGTTCATCATAACCAGAGTTATTCATCTGCACGTAAATTTGTATTGGATAGGTTTCGTATTCTCGTATTTGCGTCAGCACACGTAAAAGGTTTTCGTGGTGACAGCATGGCTGTGCACCTTGCTGACTTGTCTTCTGTTTGTGTTGGCTTGTCCGGGACAGTTGTCCTGGCCGGAAGTAGATGAATTTGTCTTTGCTGATAACCATTTGCCTTCCCTGAGGTTTAGAGTGCACGCAAACAGCTACCAACAACATGTGGACATTCGTGTTAGGCTTTACAGGGGTTGCGGGTTCGAATCCAGCATATAGAAAGACATTTTACTTTTTATTGTTGCCCTCATTTCCCTTGTAGTATCCCCCTCCCCTCTTACTGTTTCCCTCCCTCCCCTTCATCCCTCTCTCTCTCTCTCTCTCTCTCTCTCTCTCTCTCTCTCTCTCTCTCTCTCTCTCTCTCTCTCTCTCTCTCTCTCTCTCTCTCTCTCTCTCTCTCTCTCTCTCTCTCTCTCTCTCTCTCTCTCTCTCTCTCTCTCTCTCTCTCTCTCTCTCTCTCTCTCTCTCTCTCTGTCTCTCTCTGTCTCTCTCTGTCTCTCTCTGTCTCTCTCTGTCTCTCTCTGTCTCTCTCTGTCTCTCTCTGTCTCTCTCTGTCTCTCTCTGTCTCTCTCTGTCTCTCTCTGTCTCTCTCTGTCTCTCTCTGTCTCTCTCTCTGTCTCTCTCTGTCTCTCTCTGTCTCTCTCTCTCTCTCTCTCTCTCTCTCTCTCTCTCTCTCTCTCTCTCTCTTTCTCTCTCTTTCTCTCTCTCTCTTTCTCTCTCTCTCTCTTCCTGGGGCGAAGGCTGCATGCTGATTGCTCTGAGCAGACCCAGCGGGAAGACATCCGTCAACTCACTGTATCTCTCATGCAAAAAGTAGATGGCTCTTGGCTTCAAGACCACCACAAGCTATGGCTTTACCACCATCTTGTAGTGCCCAAGCTTTCTTGGTCTTTCCAGGTTCTTGAACTCACACAAGGTTTTGTACGTGAACTGCACTTTATGTGTTTACCATTTCTGAAGAAATGGTCAGGCCTACCTCGATGCGCAAACTCTGCCATTCTTTTCATTGGCAGTCGCAAACGCTTTGGCTTACGCCTCCACTACCTTCCTACGGTGTGGAAAAAGTGCCAGTCCATCAAATGGCACATTCTTCGATCGAGTGGGGACGCGCGCATGAGGGCGCTGTACACTCTGCGTCGGAGTAAGGATGCGAAGCTGACAAAGCGATATGCGGCGACAATAGAGCTGGAGTGTGCAGAGGCATCAGTAGGTTCAGGGACTCTCCGTCCACCGTCATCTTCAAGTCATCGTGCAGGGTTGGGTGCTCGTGCTCCGAAGCAGCATTCCAAACCCCCGAGGAAGGATCTCCTTCAAACATTTGAGGAGATCAACGCGCAGGAGCAGATTTTGAGGCTGAAGACTCTTCAGGTGCAAGGCAAGTGGTTGGAGTGGACATCGGTGACGTGGCAGGACCTCTCGTGGAAATCCCTTTTGTACGGTGGTACTGGTAAGCATTTGAAATTTCTTCTTGCATCAACCCTCGACGTGCTACCTTCTCCGACGAACCTACGCCGTTGGGGAAACACCGTAGTGGATCCGTACTGTAGTTTGTGCCGTACCTGGGCCTGTACTACGCGCCACGTGCTTGGCGCTTGTCGCGTAGCGCTGGACCAGGGACGTTACACCTGGAGGCACGACAACGTACTCGGGGTCATCGTCAGGAACATGCGTGAGGAGATTCGAATCCGCACTGCTGCAAACACCGTACAAACCGAAAATTCAAATGAGCTTGACTTCATCTCGTTTTGCAAGGCGGGAGAGAAGCCAGTTCGCGTTCAGCCCAGACGAAAGTTGGTTACGACTGATCTCCTGTCAGCGGCCTCAGACTGGAAACTTCTTGTCGACTCAGTTAGTGCAAAGATTTCTTTCCCTAGCTGTGTTGTGTTGTGTCATGTACTGACATAAGGAAGTAGTTTATTTTACAGACAGATGAGTGTAGATATAGTGAAGAGTCAGGGAGGCCATGCCCAGCAGAGCATGGTATCGTGCGTAGCACGGGGGTAGTGAGAGGTCACGTACCGTCTATACATGGCGACAGGCAGGGGAAGGACTATGCCGTGAATGGGTGAAAGGATAACATGATACAGGATAGGACATCTCCCCCTTTTTGAAAAAAAATTAAAGAGAGCAAAAACACAACAGCTGGGAAACTGTTATGGAGAAAAGGCAAGACAGATACATGTACGGGTTGTACATAGCCGGGCACATAGAACAGAACTATGCAATGTGCGGGAGAGCAATAGCAATAGCATGAAGCCAGAGAGAGTTATATGGTAGCGATCAATCTCTGCGGTGGCTGGATGTTGTTGCGAGCACGGAGAGTTGGCTGTGACGTAGGCACAGGCTGTTGTTGCGGGACTAGCGCGGCCGGTGGTACTGCTGGCACCGGTCCGGGAGGAGTCACTGGCTGGAGCAACTTCACTGCACGGCGGTTTCGGCGCAGAAGACCGGATGAGGTGGCGATGTTGTAGGAGCGATCGGTGAGTTGCTCAACCACTGTACCCTCGCGCTTGTCGTCGACCCACACTTTCGCTCCCAGTGGCAGAGGGGAGAGCGACTTTGCTGCGAAGCGTTGATCGAAGTGATCTTCTTGCCGATGCTTAGCCTCCTGCTCCTTGGCCCGGAGAGCGGTGATGTCTGGCCAGGAGGGTTGCAGGAGATCAGGTGGGCACGGAAGATTGGTGCGGAGCCTGCGGCCGTACAATAGTTCGGCGGGCGAATAGCCGTTGGCCAGGGGTGTGGAGCGATACGCTAGGAGGGACTGCTGTAGATCACCTGGCGCACGGATGAGTCGTTTGGCAGTCTGCACAGCGCGTTCTGCTTCGCCGTTGCTTTGAGGATGCTTCGGGCTGCTGGTCCGATGCGTGATGTTGCACGACGACATAAACTGTGCAAAGGCGTCGGAAGCGAACTGTGGCCCGTTATCGCTGACGAAGATGTCCGGATAACCGTGGGCAGCAAATATGCTCTTCAGATGAGTAATGACGGCCCGTGACGTAGTCGATGAGAGACAAGCGACATCAATGTAACGGGAGAAATAGTCGACGGTAATCAGGTACTGGCGGCCGTCGACATCACGGAGATCCGATGCGATACGCTGCCACGGACGCTCGGGGAACGGAGTTGTCTGAAGAGGCTCTGGAGACTGATGACGCTGCTTGATACAGGTAGTGCACTTGGCGACGTACACCTCGATGTCGGCAGAGATACCTGGCCACCACGACGAGAAGCGGGCACGGGCTTTACTCTTCGTGACACCTTGGTGACCATCGTGCAGCTTCTGGAGGATCTCAGGCTGTAGCACGGACGGAACAACCAGGCGAAAGCCGTGGCACAATACACCTTGCATGTGAGACAACTGGCCTCGCTCACGATGGAACGGCTTGATGTCGTCAGGGACGGTAGCAGGCCAGCCATGGATGACGTAGCGCATCACACTGGATAACACAGGATCTTCAGACGTAGCCTTGGCTAGGTCGGCGAGAACGGATGGACTTGTGAGATCTTCGGCAGTGGTTGATAAAACCATGCCGATGTCGTCTTGCAGAACGTTGTCAACTGATGCCGATGCTGGCGCTCGTGAAAGCGTGTCAGCCACCACCAGATCCTTGCCGGGAACGTGTATGGCTTGGACTTCGTACCGGAGGAAGCGGAGCAGCATTCGTTGGCATCGGATGGGGACCTTGTCCAGGTCTCTGGTGTTGATCAGTGGCACTAGCGGCTTGTGGTCCGTCTGCACGATGAACCTGGGAGCGCCGAAGAGGTACTGGTCTAACCTCTCGCACGTCCACACCGCTGCGAGGCATTCCTTTTCGATCTGCGCGTAGCCTTGTTCCGTCTTGGTCAGGGAACGGGAGGCGTAGGCTACTGGGCGCCAGTCGCCATCGTGCTTCTGGAGCAGAACACCACCAATGCCATAGCTGCTGGCATCGGCACTGACCATGATGGGACGCTTGGGGTCATAGTGCACTAAGCACGGGGCTGAAACGACGAGCTCTTTCAGCCGACGGAACGCGTCCTGCTGCGGGGAGTCCCAAAACCAATCAGTGTCGGTGTGCAGGAGCTGACGGAGGGGCGCTGAGATCGTAGCCAATTCCGGGATGAATCTGGCGACGTAGGTGAAGAGACCTAAGGCACGGCGAAGCTCAGGAACATTCGTAGGCTCCTTGAGGTCGTCAATGGCGGAGACTTTGCTGGGGTCGGGTTTCACACCGGACCCGCTGACGATGTGTCCCAGGTACTTGACTGACGACTGCTTGAGGTGGCATTTGTCGGGGTTCAGAGTGATGCCTGCGTCGGCAAGGACCTGGCGCGTTGTGTCCAGCCGGTGGTCGTGTTCAGCTTCGTTAGCGGCGTGGACCAGAACGTCGTCCATGAATACCTCGGAACCTTTGACGTGGGAGAGGAAGTCCTGCAGGCGTCGCTGGAAGATTTCCGGTGCAGAGGTTATACCGAATGGCATCCGGAGGAATCGGAACCGACCCACAGGCGTGATGAACGTGGTCAGCTTGGATGCAGACTCCGTGAGAGGCACTTGCCAGAAGCCGCTGTTGGCATCCAGCGTGGAAAAGACAGTAGATCCGGCGAGCCTAGCCAGTGTGTCCTCAACTGTCGGAAGAGGGAAGTGCCCGCGCTTCACGTTGCCGTTCAGCTTCTTTAGGTCTACGCAGATCCGTACACGACCATTTGGTTTACGAACCGGCACCATAGGAGAGCACCAGTCAGAGGGACCCGTTTCCCGGACGATGATGCCCATTTCCTCCATACGTGCGAGCTCTTCTGTGACCTTGTCCTGTAGAGGCAGAGGCACACGGCGGGCAACACCACAGTGGTACGGCGTGGCGTCGTCCACGAGCTTGATATCAGCTGGGGGCCCAACCATACAACCGATGGGCTGTGCTGGCTTGCTGGTACACGATTCTGCTGCATCTAAACGCTGGATCAGGCGAAGTCGGAGGCAGTCTCTGCGACTCAACAGATTGGTAGATCCAGGACCATCGATAACTACGATCTCCATAGAGAACAGTTCACTCTTGTGTATGGTGTCTGCAGTGAACTGACCCTTGATGGACAGAGGTGCACCAGATGGACCAAGGAGTTTGGTAGTGGATGGTGTGAGTACAGGGCGTTGTACGAGATTCTGATACGTGGAGTGCGTGATACATGATACATCTGCACCTGTGTCGATCTTGAATATCAAATTTGTCGAGCAAACAGGCAGTCTTACTGACCAGGCGTCGGTGGACTGGGAAGGACTGGCGTTGGATGACAGCTCTGCAACACCACCCATGAATGGCGACGGGGACGCGAGCGATTCATTTTCGACAGCTCTGGCACCACGCGTGGTTGCTGGAGTGGAAAGACAGACGGCGGCGAAGTGGCCCTGCTTGCCGCATGAATTACACTTGCGACCAAACGCAGGACACGCAGAACGGTTACTCTTGTGCGAACCAGCGTGGCCACACCACGGACATGTTGAAGCTGCAGTGCCGCTCTTCCTCTGCGTGGACGGCGTTGGTGCAGGCTTCGACGGAACGCCGCTGCGCTGGCGGCGACTCCTTGCATCTGGCTGCTTTCCTCCAAAGCGGGATGCAGCATTGACCTGCGGCCTGGCGGCTTGCGCTGCAACGTCTCCGGAAATTTTCTCGGCCTGCCTGGCCCTGAGAACTGCGTCCGTGAGGGTGAGTTTTGCGGGCTCAATCAGCTGCAACTCCTTGGCGACTTGACGATCCAGAATGTGAGCCACGAGGCGATCTCGAATTCTGTTGTCCTTCTGGTCACCAAAGTCACAGAACTTCGCTGCTGCGTGAAGTTTCCGAACAAATTCTTCCACGGACTCTCCTGGAAGATGGACGCACTGTTCGAAGATGGTCCTCTGGTGAAACACGTTCAATGCTGGCGTAAAGTAAGCGTCCAGCTTCGTCATGACCTTGTCATACTTGTCCTCGTCTCCAACGGTGTCGAATACCAGTTGATCGAAGACAGTTTCGGCCTCAGGGCCCAGCGAGTAGAGCAACGTAGAGATTTGCACTTTCTCGTCTTTCGCGTTGAGCTCTGAGGCGAGGCGATATCTCGCAAACCGGCGTTTCCAAGCCGGCCAGGCATCTGGAATGGAGAAATCAAAGTCTGCAGGCGGCGCGAACTTGGCCATTTCTACTCGAAGTGTAGACCTGGTTGACTAACTTCTGACACCATGTTGTGTCATGTACTGACATAAGGAAGTAGTTTATTTTACAGACAGATGAGTGTAGATATAGTGAAGAGTCAGGGAGGCCATGCCCAGCAGAGCATGGTATCGTGCGTAGCACGGGGGTAGTGAGAGGTCACGTACCGTCTATACATGGCGACAGGCAGGGGAAGGACTATGCCGTGAATGGGTGAAAGGATAACATGATACAGGATAGGACATGTTGCACTTACCACCCTAAGACCAGATATAGTTCTGTATTCTACGAGTCGTAGGATTGTATTCTGGATGGAGTTGACAGTTTGTGCTGAGGACAGATTCAGTGTCAGTAACTCGCGGAAGGACAGGCGGTATGCGGATCTGGCCGATCAATGCCGAGCAAACGGGTGGCAGGTCGTTTCTTTTTCGGTTGAGGTAGGTGTGCGTGGTTTCATCCCGGACTCTCTTCGGAGGGCTCTGAAAGCGCTTGGGTTTTCTAATCGAAGAATAAAATTTATTTGTAATTTGTGCAGTAAGACGTCTCTGCGAAGCAGCTACATCATCTGGTTGCGGCGTCAACAAAAACACTGGTCGGAAGATCCACTTTTCTGAGGTACTGTATGTGGGGCTCCGTTTATTGAGGTGCGTTGAAATTTATTCTCTTTATCTTATTATTTCTTTTCTATAATTTCCCCATATGAGTTCCTATCAGTTGCTGTGAACACCTTGAGTGGAGAGCGCTTGCTCGAGCGTTGAACCGGGTTCTTAATCCACCATACCCAGTTCGCAAGGCTGGGCGGGGTTGTGAGCAGGCTTTCATTTCATCTTTTCTTATTATTCCTGCTTTTCATCTCATTACAAAAATTCTGCGCTTTTTCTCCATCTGCGCATAAAATCTAGACTGACAACCTGCTTGTTAAATCATGCACCTGCTTTCAGGCGTAAAAACCCTGTTGTAGAGGTCTCAGTCCTCATTTGTTAGACTTACCTGTCTTTATAAATGTAACTTACTCTCTCTCTCTCTCTCTCTCTCTCTCTCTCTCTCTCTCTCTCTCTCTCTCTCTCTCTCTCTCTCTCTCTCTCTCTCTCTCTCTCTCTCTCTCTCTCTCTCTCTCTCTCTCTCTCCCCCCCCCCTCTCTCTCTCTCTCTGCCACGCACACAACACCATACTCAATGCTGCGTCTCTTAACACTATAATGTATCTATTGGGTAATTCTCTTGAATGCAGCTGTGAAGGCGATGGGTGGGAAAAGGACTGGTAAATGCTACTCTGTATGGAAGGGTGGAAAGCCAAGTGTTTGGTGAGTGGGATGTAAATGCCAAGTGTTTGGTGAGTGGGGCGTTAATGCGAAGACTTGCCTTTATTGAGTTTCTCTAACTGGTGGAATCCGTATTACTCACTTTCTTTAACTCGACAATAGGTGGTAAGTACTTAGCCACCCTTTTTGCATGATGATCTGTCAAGGCGAAAACAATTTCCCGGTGCTATTGTTCAAATTGTTGCAGTTGTTATCAGCCCCATGTCCGGATCTTGCGGTTTATAGAATGGTACACCTTTGAAACTTCTGTCCTGTTAGATCTTTGCCAGTGAAACCATTGGTTGGTTGGTTGGTTCATTTTAATTCGCACAATAAACGGGAACTAGGCACAATGATATAAAGGGGAATGCATTGGCACTTGACTGGAGAGGTGTGTTCTTAGCAGAGTGTCTGGGATAGACTCAATGATTACCGTATTTTTGAAAGTGCTGTCGTGGACATGGAAATCCGGTCGCACGGCCCCAGGGCGCTGGCCATGCAGCCGAGGATAAGCGGTACACACATGCATTTATGCGCATGCAGCGCGCTGGTCGCATCGGATCAACATGTGCACTGCACGCAGCGTTCTGTATGAGCTGAGGGCGCTGGCCCCGGTCAATCGACTGGATTTCCGTGTCCGCTACAGTATAAGCCGCACTGGAGTAAAAGCCGCACCAAGATTTTTTGTCCTGAAATAGACAGACATCTACCCTGTGTTCGGGCAGAGCATCGCTGGCCTCAAGTGAAGGTCCCTGGTTCGAGTCCTGGTGGTGACAGTCAATTTTTTCTTCAGACTTTTCCCGTTTTTTGTCTTTCCCTCAAACTAGTGAATAATATCAGTGACATATTATTTTATGTAAAGAGAAAAGGACCTACTATAATAGACTAAATAAGTTACTAGTTATGACCGACAGTCCACCAAGGTAACGAGATAATAATATATACATTCAGACATGTTATTTTCCCCATGGCATTGTGATGTTTTGTTTTGTTTCAGGCTCGGAGCATTCATAGTGCGGACAATCTGTTTGGCTAAGCGTTGGGACGTTCCCAAGGATTTTAAGAGCTTTGTGGACTCAGTAGATTGCATCCTGAAACAGCAGAACGCAGATGGAAGTTATGTGGAAACTGCACGGGTCTATCACAAGGACATGACAGTATGTAGAAACCTAACATCAGCTTAGAGAGTTTTCTGCACTGACTACTCATCATTTCGCTTCTTCCTCTTCTTCTCTTTAGCGGCTAACTGTTTTCAACTGGTGCTACTACTCTATCTGAACCTCCTTTGCTTTTCAAGATTTGATCATGTTTTGACATATAGAAGTTTAGTAACCATTCAGTAGCTAACCAGAAGAACTATAATAGGAGACTCCATCTCCGGAAGAACACTACCCGGTATGTGCATACATCTACACTTTGGCTGAATGTTACCTTCATGTATTCGGAAGTGCTGCTCTGATATCCAGCAGCCAACAGATATTCGCTGTCCTCAATCTAGTTTTAATTTCTTTCTGTGCAGGGAGGAACTCAACTGAATGCCCGTTCGCCAATGACGGCCTTTGCCCTGTTGACACTGATTGACTGTAGCAATGAGTATTCCGCTGTAAGTGCTTCAGTCACCATGTGTATCATGTGTATCATGTTTATCATGTGTATGCAATGAGTGTGAGTACTGATTGTAGTCAGTGCTGCAGTTCACGTACTGTTAGACTAGAACGGCCAATTTTAATGGGTAACGATTTTAGCGTTTTCTGAATCAGGACCAATTCACGATGAAATATTGTAGCCATTATTGATAGAAATACGACCAATCGACAACCAACAGACACCGATTCGTTTGTGACGGAAACGATTTTTTAGTAGTAGTTGGTTCTTTTTTCGACCAGACGAGACCAGACGGCGCTTGCAAACACCAGCATGAACAGTTCACCGGCAACACTGTAGCTAAGGTTGGGCAGGTAGAAATCGGGGTCTCACTCTCTGTTGCCATAGTCACCTTTTTCCAGTGCCAAGTTTGTAGTAGAACGTTTGAATTCGACAGTAGGGCACAGAGCGGAACGCATGATTGTTCCTAATGAAATATCTCACTAGCAGGTCTAAAAGTGGTATGTGGTCTGATCGCTATCATGATTTTAAGAAAGGGTATATTCCATGTGTAGTTGCGATTGGCATTTTGAGAAGTCACGGCACCTCGGAAATCAGGCCACCTCAGAAACCAAACCTCTTTGGATGGCCCAGCGGTTGGTGGGATATCTGAGGTTCCACTGTAAACTACCTCCGTGCACGTTATCCTCCAGTTACGCTCGTGTTTTTTCTTCTTCTGAAGGCCTTAAAGTAGAACCTGTCAAGGCGGTCACTCTGATAAGGCGACAACCTGTCCTAGATGACCATTGAAACCAGGACCAAGGGGTGTTTATTTCCAGTCGAATGACCCTGGATACGGAGACCACCTGTACACGGAGGCCATATTTGGAAGAACCATTTGTGCGGTTGCCTTAGGCCTCGTTTACACGACAACGATTGAAAAACGTTTTTGTCAAAAACGTTTTCAAAAGAATACGCTTCCACAGATTTTGATAAGAGCGTTTACACGACAACGCTGAAAAACGTTTCAAAAACGTTTCAAATGAAAAACGACCTTCAAAGTGTTTTTCAATCGTTTTCGTTCCGTTTCGTTCTCGTGTAAACGGCAAAAACGTTTTACTAGTACGAGCCCTGTACTCAAAACATGCCGCCGCCAGCCTGCGCCAGGCCAACTTCTTGCACGTGATGACCATTGCACGCCGAAAAAAGTGTTGCAGTGTACACGATTATTGTTTTCGTGTAAACAGCAAAAACGTTTCGAAAACGATTGAAAAACGTTTTTCAATCCGGTTGTCGTGTAAATGAGGCCTTAGACAGGTTTCACTTTACTTTCTGTGTGCATATTCATGTCATGAATAAACTGGTCTCTTAGAACGTCCGAGCCTAGTGTTCCACTGTGTCATGTCTTCTCTTCTTTCCACAGTTCACTTTTGGCACGGAGATCCAAGCCGCAGTAGGGTATCTCAAGACGTCTTTCAATGACGTCCTTAACGGCGATAGTAACTTCCAGCTTGCTCTCTTGACATATGCGCTCAGCAAAACAGATGAGACCGATCTTGCCAGACAAGGTGTGGCTAAACTTCTTGAAAGAGCCACCAAAGGTAAGGGTCCCGGTACCCCTGTACAGAAACATGCACGGCATGACACACGTGAGCAAGTTTTCTCTCCTTCATAGCACTAGCAGATTGAGTGAGGAGAGTTTACTTGATCGGTTTGTTGCCATAGTTGCCCATTTGGCCTACACAGGCCACATGCGATAGGACGTGGTTGTTGCCTCGGTCTATCTGAGGTCTGAATGTCGTTTTGAAAATGTTTTTAAAGTTATCCAGCCTGTTTATTGTGAAAAGAAGAAGGACAAAATGTTACGAGTTATGACTAACTGTCCACCAAATTAACCAGATCTTATACAGTCAGCGAGTGCGACAAAATGGCACAAAACTGGCAAGGAGTACTGAGACAATCGGCGACCTGACACCTAGATCCAACACTTCTCCAAGGCGCAAACCAACAACCTTCCAACTTGGAACTTCCAACATTTTGTCTTCTTCTTTTCACAATAATTTAATTGGCTCACCATCCGAGTTACATTTTGCAGCCTGTTTATCCTTCAATTTATGGTTCATGTAAGATCTGTGTCCTTGTGTGCCTGATCTGTACCAGATGTTGTCGGCATATACTGGGAGCAGGCGGCTAATGACAAAATTCGCTATGACGTCAGACCAAAGGCGCTAACTATTGAGACCACTGCCTATGTTCTGCTGGCCCTGTCGACACTTGGCATGCGAGCGGAGGCTCAGCCGGTTGTCGATTACCTGGCGCAGAACTACAATCCACGCGGTGGTTTCGCAAACACTCAGGTACACTAAAGCGATCACGTAACTGCCCGCCTATTGTCTGTTTTGTTTTTCTCTCTCCATGAAATGGTTGTAGTCATATTGCTATTACATGTATTCTCTAGTGCCATTTTAGTTGCAGTGTTCAAGTACAGGGTAGCCCAGTGATGCCCAAACGGTTTGGGTTGCCGAGTAGAACGAGTCCTTATTAGGCATATATAGTTGTAGTTTTAGAGTCACTTTTCTTCAAAGTACACCCTGCACCTTGCCTCCAATGCCGCCATTCATCATACTCATTGACAAGCAAGGCACTTACAGTCTACTTTGCGTATAACTACACTTGGCGGGCATCAGAAAAGTATCCTTATTCGCGAAGTGTCCTTATACCCAAAGTCTCATTATATGTAGTACAGTTAGATGGGACTTGCCTCTGGGCATGGAAATTCTGTCGTTATTCCCGAATTGTCGTTATATCCGCAGTCGTTATTAGCCAAGTTGATTGTACTACAGTTCTACTAGTACGAGTGCCCTAGATACAGAGCTGAGGCCTTTGGGTATATTTGGTACCTTCTTCCTTTTTCTCACCTATCAGACTGCATGTCCAGAATATGGAACACCACAGATTATCTTGTGCACCCGTGTCCTATTCTTGCTCAGGAAACTACCGTAGCGATTCAATCGATGATTGAGTTTGCCAAAATCAACGAGGAGAGTCCCGCAACAGATTTCTCTGTTGAAGTGCAAACTCCCACGGCCAGTGGCTACTCACGGCTCGACGACAGGATAGTGAACAATGAGAACTACAACATACGGCAAACCATTCATGTAAGCCTCGGAAAACTATTCCATCCCAAATTCTAGTATATTTAACTTTCATGAGTGTAACCGGTAGCGCCTGCCTTCAGCCTTTCCAGTGTATTTTCTGTAACATTACCAGAATTATACCAACAGGAATGTTTTATACTTAAAATCTATTTAGAAGGAAGACAGTCTCGTTGTCTAGGAGATTACCAATCAGCTATAGTGTATTCATATCACTTCACAGTGCACTACACTAGCTTGTTAGCGTTGTCCATGTTAGCACTAGCTTATCGGGCATTTAAAAGCCATAAAAACTTATCGGCCATGCACTAACCTATACGAATACTGAACAATTGTGACACCACCACTCGAAAATTTCTCATGGCGGACCCATTCCACTTGCACATCACCACCATTCCATCCAATGGCGCGAGATGTTGGTATTACAGATCATCCTCCACCAATGAGTTATGTTTGAGCAGAACAGCGTCTGGTGGGCCGAGCAATATCTCAACGGAATTGTCCTCACTATGAAGTGGTGGTGATGTGCAAGTGGAATGGGCCGAGAGCACATTGTGGACCAGTGGTATGACTGATGTTTGCATAATGGTCGAATTTGTCACTATTCTTGCTTCTATGTGGTATTGCCGAAGTTTCGACCACCAATTCACTCTAGCGTCCTGGTCTCACAGCATGAATGTTCTGCATGCCACTTGCAGAGGTCTGGACTGTGTTAGTTTTCAGGCACACAACAACCATTCTGGCTGGTGTGGCCTTGGCTGAACTACACAGCTAAGGACATTTGATATGAACTGACAAGTGAAAGTATTCATTATAATATTATGTCAAGATACGTGGTTCTGGCCGGATCATCATGAGTTGATCGTGGCAGTTCTGAGGGAAATTTGCGTGCTGAATTCTCTTTCATTACAGATTCCACGAGGTGACATTCCAAGAGTTCGTCTCCTTACACGTGGAACAGGACGTGGCATTGCACAGGTAAGTTTAAAAGACCATATGTACACTACTCTCATAATACTGTACATTTAGCCCTATGTGGCCATAGAAATGACCAATTCTAGCTCTTCGGATACAATCCGGAACCTCTTTAGACCATATGACAGGTTTGGCAGGGATAATTCGATGATTTGGTTTTTTTTGGAAAGCGGTTGGCCTCCACGAGTACCGGCTTCACCGACGAGACATACCGTATTCGCTCGATCAGAGCCCTCTCTTGAACGAAAAATGGTTCCCAGGGGTACACATTGTGCGAGTATAATATATGGTCAACACAGCTGTCTGAAGGAATTGGTATCTGAATTCGTTGTCAGAGTCCCTGTTGACACTACGATTTTACTTTGAAGTACCAAGTAAATTGATTATCACTGATTGATGGGGCGCAGGCAATATTGGTGTCGGGGTCCCAACGCATCCCAACACTCAACAGTATACTATCAGTTATAGTTACATTACATGATATTACTGAAACGGAAAGCCATCTTTGTCTCCAACCAAAGCAACAACTCGCGGAGCAACCAAAGAACAACTAAACTGAAAAGAAGAACGACATGGTTCAAACCCAATACACAAACCCGGCCCGTATCGCGTATGCCAGCGACACGTGCATGAAAGCAAGTACAGAATGCAGAAAAGTAGCTTGCATGAAAAGTGCGTAGCGTTCACACCTGTATGCTAACCCGCACTACAACTCGCGTACTATACAAAGGACTAGTACTGCGCAGTAGGCACGCATTCAAATAAGCTGTAGACATGCACTGCATAAATCTCCAAGTCCTCGTACAAACTGTGCAGTGCTGCAAAGGTACAAGGAAATAAATATCAAACAAATATCAATGTGCAGGTCAGCGACATCCTCCCCACCAAAACCTAGTGCAGGTTTTACAAGTCCAACCATTGCCTGTCGCTATACGCTGGGCGAGCGGAGAAGGTAGCGGATCATCCCACTTGCCTTGTTCCTTCCAGGCCTCTTGCAGGAGGATCTTGCCTGTCAATACTACATACTACCGGTGACACCAAGTCGAGCGGATCAAATGTCGCTGCTATGCACTTCAATGGGGTGCGCCTCGTCCATGTCTTCCAGAGTGGCAGTTGACGCTGCATCGCTACGTGAGAGGGAGAGTGTGTCGGCTGTCAAACACTAGGCGTCGCCGAGGGCATTGCCTGTAGCTGCTGAGGTGCTGTGGCTGTTGCTGCTGCCGCTGCTATTGTTGAAATCCCTGCTACCATTGCTACTGTCATCATGAAGCACGGTATGGTGTTTGTTGCCACACTTGCTGCAAGTAACACTACTATCACACATTCTCCAGCTGTGCCCTGTCCGCAGGCAACAATAGCAAAGGCCATTGGTTTGCGCATACTCGCGGCGCTGAGCAACAGGCATGCTGTGGAGCGTGTTCTCGTCATCGGCAGTGGACAGCGTGAAGCACTGTGCTGATGCACCCTCGCACTCCCAGGCCACAGGCTTCTTGTCAGATACAGATACACCATGGGCCTCCTGATACGCTGTACCCAGCTCCGTGATCTCTTCAAACGTTTTCTCGCCGATCTTGTTTTCCAGCAAGTACGCACGGAGGTCAAGCGAGCATCCCTGGAGCACAAATTGGCGGACGATTGCCATGAACATCTCACTGTTCCCACTGCTCTGCTTCTGGCCCTGCGGCCCTCCAGTTAGCGATGCCCACTCTTGCACCAGTTGCACTACATGGGTTACGTACCGGAAAAACGTGTCCTCCGTCTGCTGATGCAGAGACAAGAGCTCGGACCACGTCTTCTCGGCAGTCTTGCCAAAACTACGTGTCACTTGAACTTTAGCGCTTTCATAAGTTGTGACATGATCCAACACCGGTTCAAGCCTTGTCCCCATCGCTGCCGAACGGAGGGCCAACAACCACGTAGATTTTTCGAAGCCATTTTGCTGAACAACAGCCTCAAATGTTACCAAATAACGCCGGATGTCCTGTTTGTCGGTGTATTTTGGCACGTCCAACTTGTGGGGGCGCTTCTGCACGTCGTTACTGTCACTACCACTCGCGGCTTGGAGTTTTTCTATCTCCTTCTTACTGTCCAGCTCCTTCTGAGCGATTCTCTCTGCACGCTCTTGTGCTCTCTGGTCCCTATCAGTTGCTTCGGTGAGCTTGCGCTCCACGAAAGAGACCAGTGCCTCGCCAGAATATCCGTAATCCTTGCCAAGCTTTAGGTAACTCGTCTCCAGCTTCATCCATCCAAAAGCCTCAGCGCTTCCACCAGCACCAGGCGATTTCCCTTCGGCTTCGGACTCGGCCATGCTAAGCCAGCACGCTACGATGCACGATTCAAATTTTACTGGGTGGTCGCCAAATATTGGTGTCGGGGTCCCAACGCATCCCAACACTCAACAGTATACTATCAGTTATAGTTACATTACATGATATTACTGAAACGGAAAGCCATCTTTGTCTCCAACCAAAGCAACAACTCGCGGAGCAACCAAAGAACAACTAAACTGAAAAGAAGAACGACATGGTTCAAACCCAATACACAAACCCGGCCCGTATCGCGTATGCCAGCGACACGTGCATGAAAGCAAGTACAGAATGCAGAAAAGTAGCTTGCATGAAAAGTGCGTAGCGTTCACACCTGTATGCTAACCCGCACTACAACTCGCGTACTATACAAAGGACTAGTACTGCGCAGTAGGCACGCATTCAAATAAGCTGTAGACATGCACTGCATAAATCTCCAAGTCCTCGTACAAACTGTGCAGTGCTGCAAAGGTACAAGGAAATAAATATCAAACAAATATCAATGTGCAGGTCAGCGACAGGCAATGTGTTGTTCACGTACACACGGTAAAAGAGAACACTATTTAATCAGCTTCCATTGGAATGAGTTTGATTGGTGTCTGCTGGTGCTGTCTGCTTATCCAGGTGGCATGCGACTACCGTGTTTTGGAAACCTGTGACAAATGTCCTTTTGTTGTGAACATCACGCATGTTGAAGTCCGTAAGCCGGGAAGCAACGAGAACACCTTGAGTGTTACTGTTTCTGTCACGTAAGGGATGATAATGTCTGTTGGTTATCACCTTTCCTTTCCATTCCCACATAGCACACTTGCCGATTTAGATAATTATTATGGATATTCAGCCAAAGGCAGCATATGGTAGATAATATTTTAGCAGCAGGGAAAGTTTGGCCGAATTCAAGACTTCAGTACTTGCACTCCTCTGGTCTCTGAGTCAATTAGGCGTACACATGTAGGGTGAACAGTTCGTTGCATCTTCTTCGTACCACCACCACCACCATTAGACTCAATTCCCAGACAATTGCAAATTAGAAGTTTTGATCTTAGTCGCAACTTCCCCTTTGATACTTGTATACTCACCATGCACAGATCAAATTGGCTTGGGTGGTCAGGAGCGATTAAGCTCCTCTTTGTTTTGTTTGGAATCCCTTGGCAAACATTGAGATAGGGTACACATGGTGTTACCAGAAGGAGATAACGTGTTACTACATGTCAGTGTTGTGCGTTCCTAGATTTCTTTAAACCTTGAAGTACGGATAGTGAAACATTATTACACTTAGTGATTGTGGGTTTTACTATTGCTTCAGACTTGGAAATACATGTCTCGACTCTAACCGTTGAATATAACAATGCAGTAAAACATCTACCTTTTGGCTCTCCTGTGTTTAGGGGAAAAGTAAAGATGTGCTGGCTTTGACAATTCAACAGTTGTGTGCAAAACTATGCAATGAGATTCAAGGGGGAAATTGCCGGAAGAGACTGTTTTTTTTTTTTTCCTTACCTGGCATGTATCCCGGGGCCGTGCCACAGAGTACACTTCATCAGCAGGGGTTCTATGCAATGAAGTTACTCGTATCAATACTGTAAATGCCATTATTCTAACGAGGCGCATATATAATGATTTACTAAAATTGACTGGTTCACGTGTACCAAAGGTAACAATTCTCACTCATTCTCAACTCTCACTGGCAACAGTATTATGTATCGATTTCTGTGTAGCGATTTTTTATTTTAACGACAGATTTCTCCTCATTAACTCGTTAGAATTAGCACTTCGTTATGTATAGGGCTTTTACAGTACTTATTTTTGAAATACAAGAGAGAGAGAGAGAGAGAGAGAGAGAGAGAGAGAGAGAGAGAGAGAGAGACGGGGGAAGGGGGAAGGGGGAGCTGTATTGCAACTCCGAGTTTCACATAGTCACGATCATCAGGCATCTGATGGCTCGAAAACGGGCAGCCTGAACATAAGAGGAAGCAAGGCGAGAATTACTGAGGGCAAACATAGCATAGAAGTCAGGTGCAGGCGGGAAGTAGCCAAGTCTTCAGACTTGGAGCTATGTAGCTATGTAGCAGCAGCAGTTCTGGCACTCTGGTGGTGTGAATAAAGTAGTGCTGGGGACTTTAAAGTGCTAAACACACAGACACGTACACACACACACACACACACACACACACACACACACGCACACACACACACACACACACACACACACACACACACACACACACACACACACACACACACACACACACACAGATTCTCTCACTCTTACACATATCAGCTCTTCGGAAGTTGACGGGAAAACTCTACGACGTCGAAACATACAAAAACACAGTTTTGCTTGTCCTCCAGCCCCTCCAACCAGTCTATCACTGCAGACGTACTATTCCAGCCACGTGACGCCGGACATCCTTGACTATCCTTTCCAGTATCGATTTGGATATTTTTCCAACATTGCTTTTCGCTGTATTAATGAGGCGACATGGAGGGTTAGCGCTGGAGTTGTCCTTGTGATCCTTTAATGTCACAAACACGTCCTTTTTGCCATGCACTCCAATCGCTCATCCAACCCCCGAGCTTTGACTATACTCTCAGCTTCCACATTTATGTGGTCGTATATTTTCTCCGCTGCTTGCTTGTAGCTTTTGGTCACATTATCATGCATAAGCTTCTCATAGCAGTCTTTCTTGACAGCTTACTCAAAGTACATGTTTTGGGTCTTGTCTGCAGCTACGAAGGTATCGCTTGAGTTCTTGATTTGAGCTATGTCATCCCTGAGTTGCTGCTGGAAAGTGTCTGTTGACCTATTGAACTGCACAGTCTCCACCATCGTTAGCAGATCATCCTCAAGAGGCTCAAACTCTTCGATCTGCCGTGGACATCTCCGAGACTTGAATCCGAAGTTATCCTGCTGTTACTGCTCAGCCTCGTCACCTTCCATGAAGAATAATGCTTGTAAACGCATGCGCTTGATGAGGCTCTCGACCATTTCGATCAGCCTGGTTGTACTTCAACGTATACTGAAATACGTTTTCATCAATCTTATCCATGAGGAGACAAGACCACAGCTTCGAAGAGCTAGATGGTCTCCATGCCTATCCTCCACTATTCACTGCTTGTGACGGGAGATCACAGTACGAGATCTCTTCCTCCGTTCTGATTGGAGATTTGTGGCTTTTGTAGAGAGAGAAACAAAGTGATCAGATTATAAAAGATAATGCATCCAATAATTGTGTCTTCTGTCAGGTATAAATACCTTCTATCTGTGTCTTCTTTCAATGCTTTGTTATCAGATGGGAGCCAGATTATCCCTACATAGACCAAAATACGATGTTCATCGTGCACCTGGATTTCTTCACCGGTTATGAGATTACTTCTGCATCAAAGAAAACGGTATGTATCATTTATTTCACAACTGCAGTCTTTCCCGGACATTCTTTCTCGGAGGCTCCTCAATTAACTATGAAAGATGTAGCAGACATCACTGATCACCATAACACTGGCTGTATGTACACTGTTCATGCTTCACTTGTTTCTGGAGGATACTAAACTGATGTGGTGTACATCTTTGCCTGACCTCGTTTTTCTCAAGGTTGGACCCGGTTCAGGAGGGTGTCGCATATGAGAATGGCATACAAGAGAGAAGTGGATTGACAACACGAATATGCTAAAATAGCTGTTGGAAGATGAAGACATGAATGTCACTGTTTTACAGAAGAGAAGGCTGGGATATTCAGTGATTCATTTGAGAGAGTAGTACATGTGTATCTGCATTGTGTTCATACTCCGCAGGTGAAGGATGTCCACGGAGTGGAAGAAGTCGAGCAGCGTAGTCAGAGTGTCGTTGTCTACATCAAGAATGTAAGAGGGTATGCGGGGTGTGCAACGTGTTTCTGTTTCAGCGTGTGCATGCCATTACTGTGTGTGCTTGTGTGTGCATGGCGATATGAGCTAGTGTTTGTGTGTGCATGGCGATACGAGCTAGTGCTTGTGTGTGCATGACGATACGAGCTAGTGCTTGTGTGTGCATGGCGATACGAGCTAGTGCTTGTGTGTGCATGGCGATATGAGCTAGTGCTTGTGTGTGCATGGCGATATGAGCTAGTGCTTGTGTGTGCATGGCGATATGAGCTAGTGCTTGTGTGTGCATGGCGATATGGGCTAGTGCTTGTGTGTGCATGGCGATATGAGCTAGTGCTTGTGTGTGCATGGCGATATGAGCTAGTGCTTGTGTGTGCATGGCGATATGAGCTAGTGCTTGTCTGTGCATGGCGATATGAGCTAGTGCATGGAGTGCTTTTATCAAAGACTCAGGTGGTGTGGCAAGCAGGTATGTGGAAATAAATTATTGTTGAAAATTTTACCTCTGAAACACCTGGTTTAAGGTTTCGATTCCCAGTTTGAGCGAAGACTATTTATTTCCATTCATGCATGTTGGTGAGAATGTGCACATTGAGTGGTGAACTGGTTCTGGCGTGCCAGCATTGCACTTTGGTCGGAATCCCTTGGCAACGTTTCCTGAATTCCATCCGTGTCATCTTGTACTTTGTCTACACAGATCCCAGCTTCGGACGAGGAACCTCTCAATCTCATATTCATTGCCACAAGAGAGGCATCTTTCAAAGAAATGGACTCGGTGCCGGCAGTTGTGCGAGTGTATGATTACTATGACCCAGGTGAGTACTGCAGCAGCCACGTGCTCTTGGTGTAACCAATCTGTATCACAATTAGGGGCCATCCGTAAATATACCGTATTATCTCTAATATAAGCACGGTCCTTTATTTTTTCAATGTACCTCCGCCCCGTGCTATTAATGGAGACGTTCCTTTATTGGAGACTGTTCCATTATTTCAACCTCATTTCAGAGGCATGTTGCCATGCCAAATTCATGTATGACACACACATTTCAGGTTTTTTTCGCCGGTACAGATAATGAATTTACACAGTGTGCTTATAATGGAGACTGAGCACTTTTTTTTTTGAATGCCGCCCCAAGGTGTTCTATTATTGGAGACGTGCTATTATTGGAGACTGTGCTTATATTAGAGATAATACGGTAGATATTTTTTTAGGAACAAAAAGTAGTCGTTTAGGGGGGAGGGGGTTGAGCGCCTGTTCGTTTCTCGAAAAATATCGATGTACATTTTGCATGTGTGAGCATATCCAGAAAGAAGACCAAAATGTCGACACTATGTACCATTTGTATGTGTTCGTTTCTCAGGGGGGAGGAGGGTTAACCCTTTCAGTGCCAAGAACGAGATAACTCGTCCTACAGACCCCCACGCGATTGGCCAAGGACGAGATATCTCGTCCTCGTAGTGCGCACTACTATATCTCACCGGCCATGCACTACAATCTAGCTTGGCCGATTGTGGCTCTTCGAGGCGAAACTAGGGGTTTTCCCCTACTGAATAAGACCTCACTCGCCGAGTTTGAGTAAGTAAGGGCGCGGTAGCATACATTCAGAGCGCTCGGGCGAAAAACATAATTCGATTTAGAAACAATTAGATTGACGGAACGTACTTTAGGTCTCTCTAGCTGTCACTCAGACACGGCGAGTCGCCGCATGTCGGCTGAAGAGGTGCTCCAGTCCATCATGGACTCGGACATTGATGACTGGAGCTGCGATAGTGAAGGCGATGACTCGGATGCGGACATAGCCGTCTGCGATCGTGACGGAACAAATTTCGCGGACGAGTCCGCCGTGGTCGATGTCGTACCTACTGCCGTGGTCGCCTTGGACGGTCCTGAGGATATCGGAGATGTCAATGTCGAGTTTGAGCAGGGCGCAGCAGCACAAGCTACGCTAGCGAGGGACAACAAGTGGGTTTGAGTTACGACTATTTTGAAAAAAATCAGATTTTTTTAATGAAAATGGCCCGGCCAACAGTGTACATCTGGCCTGGCACTGAAAGGGTTAAAGAGAAACGACTAGTTTTCGTTTCTAAACAAATATCGATATTTACGGAAGGCCCCTTAGTGTGTTCAGCAATAAAGGATGTGACCATATACTCGCCACCCCTTATGCTCAAACCAACCTGGAGAACATGCATGGTGACATAGTCATGTGTGAATTTATTGGGTATTCAATGGAACATGTGAGTAGAAAATCATGAAGCCCTGGCACATATGAGCGCAATGATCATAAAGTGATCCTGGGTTCTTGTGTAGTCGTTGAGACTTGGCAAAGTCAGGCGGATCCCATCCATGAACTGTCAAAATCTTGCATGACTGGCAGGAAACGTTTGCATTCAAGGTCACGTGTCCCACTGTACCTAGCAATATGTATCGGTCATGTAAATGTACAACAGGTTAACGTGCAGCCTGTACATGTGGAATCACAGTTGGTGGCTGTACACGGTCGATCGTCATCAGGACAGATCGCTCTGCATAAGTAGATGGCATGCATATGGAAAATACCAGCCAGTGACTATCGTGGCCGGTCACCCCCTGTCGCTTACAGCAGGAAAAATTGGACTACTACAACATTTAGAAATAGTGGTAGCGACTTTGGCGATGATTGTTACTAGTGGTCAAACGAATGTGCTAAACAGCGAATCGAACCTTCTCTGAATGTTCCTAACGAATACCGAACGAATGTCGCCCGTTCCATGATTAAGAAATCAGTAAGAAATTATAGCTACCAACCAGTATGTAACACTAAAACTTTTGTAAAAGGCACCCAAATCATAAGTGAAGTTGCACACTGCAAGTCTGCAACAGAGACTGTAGATGCCATGACTCATTTATGAAGTGGACAGTGATGGTAATGTACCCCTTCGTTCGTCTGCTTGTCCACAGGTCTGTAGTCAGCGCCATGGAGCTGGCCTTTTCAAGGTTCTCCACCTAACCACTGCACCAGCAACTTCAGGCCCGCGACGTGCTTCCGCTGAATTAGCTTTGTCACTCGAGTCGCAGGTAGCCAGGCTCGGGGTAGTTCATGAGCGAAAGGAACCCCCGCACCAGTGACTACGCTCACAGGCCGAAGATCTCTGCACACAAATTCCACCAATCGGTCGTCGCATCCAGAGCCTCAGAGGATCTAGCCGCTGGCACTTTCTTTGCCTTGAAGAAGGCAGTTATCCCTCCGTCCTTTTTCGGTATCGCCCCTGCGCCATCCAAGTCGACATGGTGAACGTCCTTCAGATGGTTACGTAAATTCGTTGTTCCGCCATGATCTGCCAAGTCTTTCGGCGGCTTGCACCGAGTACACGTAGCAATATTGTCGTGAGAATATAGATAATATTGTCAGCCGTTATCTCTATTCCACAATCCCATACGCCAGAGCGCCTACTCTTCTCGGCCATGACGAACGTTGGGTGGATTTGATGAAGAAAGACTCAACGACGGCTCTCAGCAATAGTTATTATTTCAGACAGACCGTCGAGTGTTGTCACGACTAAAATCGCCTGTGGCACTGCACTTCCAGTTTCACAGCCGGGCGCGGTGCACGCATGCAACGTTCAACCCAGAGTAGAGTTCACTGCGGAGACTAGACCCACCGTATACGCGTAGTCTCTGGTCATGAAGACAGCGCGGCACGGCTTCAAAAGTAGACGTGTGTACGTGCTTGCATGCATGAAAATCGCTGCTACAAGTGCAGAGTTCACAGTTTTGTGAGTTACGATATTCGTTTGGGCGGTCAACTTGACATTCGAATGTCGACTCGAGAACGAACGTTCGAAGCTTCTCAGCATTCGTTTGACCACTAATTGTTACAATATTTGCCAAAAAAATCCGTCCAATGCTGCATGCGTCGTAGTCGACTACCATGTGCAGCATTAGCCGGATTTTTTGGCGAGTATTGTAGCACCACAGTGTGTGTGGTGGTGGTGGTGGTGTGTGTGTGTGGGGGGGGGGGGGGGGTAAAACGGCGGAAATCCTGCATTAAAGGGGAAGTTAAGGCAAAAATTTAAATTTCACCAGTTGTAGTCTTCGGGGTGCTGAGTCGAATGGTCGTGGTCCGAGGAAGCTGAGATGCTCCCTTCCTACTTGAATCCCAATCGAACTCGCGCACTTCCACCGAAACTGGGTGACTGCGCCCTACTAGATGGGGATTTGTATGCAAAATGTCACTAAAAGCGCCATTTTGTTCTTATAAAAGTATGGATGACTGCGATTGGCCCATATGTTGTAGTCTTTTCGACGCTGAGTCGATTGGTTTTGATCCGAAAAGGCTGCGATGCAGCGTTCCTCCTTTATTCCCAATCGAACATGGTTGAACAAGCGGTCACGTGCTCCTGCGTACACCAGTCACCTGGTCACCGTGCCTGCAGGGTACAACTTACTAGCCTGTTTGACCTTTTTTGGGTGCAGTCCTGTCACTCGAGTTGAACCTTGGCGTGAAAGTTGTCGCCAAAAGAGTACAACATATGGGCCAATCGCGATCATCCGTGCTTTTATAAGAACGAAATGGCGCTTTTAGTGACATTTGCATACAAATCCCCATCTAGTAGGGCGCAGTCACCCAGTTTCGGTGGAAGTGCGCGAGTTCGATTGGGATTCAAGCAGGAAGGGAGCGTCTCAGCTTTCTCGGACCAAGACCATTCGACTCAGCACCCCGAAGACTACAACTGGTGAAATTTTAATTTTTGCCTTAACTTCCCCTTTAATGATTGCATGACAGGCTATATACTTCCTCTTTCTAAAATTCCACAAAATCATCTGTCACCGTTGCAGGGGTGAGAAAGAATCCGTTCATTTGATGTATGCAAGCACCAAAAGCAGAAGTCTGTAATGCGAACCACGGTCTCAGTTCATCACTGTGTGTCTTGTATCGTGATCCACCATTCCAGATAAGAGATGTGAGTTGTTCTATGCCCGAAAGAACGAGACAACGCTGCCAGAGAGTGTGTGTACTGAAGAGAATGCTCTAGCGCCGGGACTGGACGATGAAGATGGCAGCAAGGCTGGGCGCTGCGCCTGTGTCTCCAGTAAGTTGTGTAAATGGGCTATCATCGTCTGCAAATTTGACCTCCTAGCACAGCCTGCTATGTCGGACACCACTGACCATGCATGGACTAGGCGCAATGTGCGAACTGTTGGTGATGGTGGTGGTGAGGAGAGCTCTGTGCCAGAGTAACTTGGCCGCTTAGAGAGAGAGTGTGTGTGGGCAGGCGTGTATCTACCATCATCTTTCCAGGTGTGCATTTACCACCAAATGAATTAGCTACGAGTACATGTACTTCAAAATGTTTCCTGGCATTGTACCTGACATTATGCATGTACTTTGTTGAGCTGTTTCTCATATTCCACTTTCTGAAGCTTTCTTGTTCCACTCGTAGTTAAGGTGTATAGGAATAGGCTTCTTGTACACCAGGCCTTTTCCGACCAAGTCCAATCTTGTTGTCACTTGGTTTTGTTTGCTGTTAGGAAAATGTCCAGAGTGCGGCGAGGCTATTTGCCAACTCGCAGAATACTTTGACGGAAACTACACTGAAGTACGCCTCTGGAGAGAAAAGAAAAATCGGGACACCCCGGATCCGTGTGTCTTCCCGGGCAAGTCCAAGAGGCACAGGAAGCCCATACCATTCGTCGATAACATGTGCACGCTTCATCGGGAGATAGACAATTGGATTCAGGGCCTGCAGAAGTTTTCTTGCGAGGATGTCGATTATGGTACGTGCCAATTTTGTGCATTCACGTGTCGAGGATGCGGCAATGCATACGCCAATTCCGATACGGACGTGAAGCAAAGACACGATTTAGTGTGCAGTCCTGGCAATTGTATGGCGTGGTTGTAGTAATCTCTTTTGTGCTATCGTGAGCTGTTCTCGATTTCTGATGCCTGGACTGGCTTGCTTGCATGGTGTGCTAGTATTATCTTGGACCACCTAAGGCACCTGGTGTGATAACTAAGTAGGAAATTGGAACTGTATCCGTTATACTTATACTCATAATGACCTTGACCACTTTGAAGAACGGATGTTTTGTGTCGGCTACTCCCTGTGCCTGTGTGCAGTATACTTGGTGGTGCTGACGAGTGCTTTTCTCTGTGCCTGTGTGCAGTGTACTTGGTGGTGCTGAGGGGTGTTTCCAGTACACCAGGCAGCATGTGGTGGAAGCTCAACGTCCGCTTGATCAAAATCTACAAGAACGGCGCACGGAAGTTCAACAATGGCCCCGACGGAGAGGTGATACGCACGCCATTGACAATGTACGCTAGCAAAATGTGCAGTCTATGCAACGATGCACTCTTCACGCAGAAGAGAATGAAGAAACTCAGATTCCTAATGTTCGGCAAAGATTCTAATCCGCTTGTTCTGGAGAAGGGATCTCGCATAATGCCCTTTCCCAATGAGGATTGCCAGGTGAGCTCTCGCCTGCACAACTTCCTCGAAGCCCTGAGAAACCAGGGTCTGTGCGGCTAACCTATGGTGCAACTTCTGAACATTTTCATACTAGTAATTATTCCTCACAGCATTGCTATAGTTATATGTATACCGGCATCGGGATCATGGTATTAGAGGTGATTGTGCATACTCTCTACTTTGTGTGATTTCGGTGCTGCACACATTTCCACTTGATCTACACCTTCTGCTGCTACTGCTACGACTGCAAGGCGTTATAGCATCATTCTTCCACACTCCAGCTTTCCATGACCATGCATGCACGGTGTTCTCCTGGGTGCTCTCAGTTAACTGAGTGCGCCAAGCGATTGCTCAATCACTTGCTTTCTCTCCAGTCAGATTTGGATTAACAATAACCATTGGCTCTCGTCTTTGAAGACAGTACTGACGTTCTATAGATGTATTATCACTGTACATAGCTCTCTCTCTCTCTCTCTCTCTCTCTCTCTCTCTCTCTCTCTCTCTCTCTCTCTCTCTCTCTCTCTCTCTCTCTCTCTCTCTCTCTCTCTCTCTTGATAGGTAGGTAGGTGGATAGGTAGATAGGTAGATAGATAGATAGATACTGTATAGCAGGAAATTTTCGGACGGAAATATTTTCGGACAAAGCCGAATTTCGACATTTCGTACGGATTTTATTTTCGTACAGTGGTGCATGCTAAATGCACTTGTTTGCTTGCGGTACGCATGTATTGTGTACATAACTTCACAGGAACAAATTTTAGTACGGAATTAATTTTAGTACAAAAGAGGGTGTGTACGAAATCGTACGAAAATAAATTCCGTCCGAAAATTTCCTGCTATACAGTAGATGCGCACAGTTGAGCAATCTTACAGAGCCATCTTCGATTGGTCATATACTGAGACATAACATTGGGGTGCATGTCTCCTGTCAGGTTCTCAGGAAACTGATAGATAGCTGTCCACAGAATCTAGACTATGTCCGTTGCACCTTTGCGGGCCCTTGGGCAAACTAGGCATATCTCCAACATAATACTATTTAAATAAAAGGGGGTTTGTCAACTGACAACCGCTCTATTCAGTTGCTATTCACTCTTGGCGCATGTGCTGGATGAAAAACTATTTTATCATTGATGTCGAAAAATATTGACGTTTAGGGCCAGTCACCCATTACATCCAGTGCATGCGCCAAGAGTGAATAGCAACTGAATAGTGCGGTTGTCAGTTGACAACCCCCCTTTTATTTACAATGCAGTTGCGTGATGTCCACCACTTTCTGAGTGATAGTACCATTTAGTTCAATTTCATACGTTGTTTTCTAATTGTCCTCAAACTCAACGCAGCCACTTACACATTTAGGTTAACTTGTTTGTTTATTTATTTAGAGTCGAAGAATATACTTCACTTCTCAACTCCATAAACGGTGTCTTCGCTGCGATTAAAATTAAAATTCACATTACACCAAATTTCCAAGCCTGGCCCATCATCAGGATAATGAAGTTCAATTTCATACGTTCATATAAATAAGAAAAAGGTATGATTAGCTCACAGTACAAACGCTACGAAGGTACCAGGTGGCTGTACGCTGTACGCTCGCTCGACCGAGGCTGTCTCAGTTGGATGTTTTGTCTTGGACGGCGTGGATAGGTCTTCGTTGTCAGTAGCTGGCCATGATAGCATTCACTGGTGCTATATTGCATGTTTGCTGTTGCTCTTAGTCTTAGGTGCCCCTGCAGCGTTAATAAGGGCTTATGATGATTGAGACTACGAAGAGTTCCGGAGGGGTGTCATTGTGATCTCAAATGCAAACATGTGGAACATTTGGAAAAGATTGAATGCATGGCTCTGTACATGTAGATGGTCATGTCACTGGTACATTTACATCATGACATGTGCCATAATTATCGTAAACAATCAAAACAATTCAAGGAATTTTTCATCAACGTCTATAGGGAGTGGATTAAAATTTATGTCTCAACTGGCTTGAATAATTACCGGTATTATAGTTTAGAATACGGCAGAATCAAGCACCTTTCCTTTTCTGTACCAGTGCAGCCTTCTGCCGAAGCCTGCTTGTCATTGCGGGCACTGGGCTGCGCGCTAGTTTGCGATCTGGCACCTAATTGTCCAACCACGACACGAGCTTTCTCTAACCATTCTGACGGATGGAGACCACTGCACAGTTCGAGCGCCATAGACCAGAATAGATGCTTGTTGATTTCCAGCAAGCGTCGTACAACTTCCCAAGCACTTGCCACTCGTACCACGCCATCTTCGCACTGCTCTTTCAGCCAGAGTACTGCATTCTGGGCTGCTCGATTCTTTGCCAATGCAGGAAATACGCGCCTCGCTAGCGCATTGATCTGCCTGTTCGTGACCGGTGGTGCAATCCCGAAGTACTTTAGGAGAACGAGAATAGCTTGTACTAGGAGTTCGGCATCTTCAAGGTCGATCATGGCGGTGCAGACTCTGTCCTACACAAGATCCCAACGCAAAGACAAATAAAACGTATCACTATCAAGCACAAACTGTCAATGATAATGATTGTGACAATGACTACATCATGTACATGTGCTGACATTGTCGTCGCTAAACTGAGCATTCTGTATTTTTGAGATCTAGACTACATTATACATACCACCTACACCACCACACACAGAATGTGTAAAGGAGGACGTCATGGATGACCGTCTCCGTGCAGTACGACCACTGCAATCGGTGGAAGACACCCTTGTAACCGGGGTGCGGGTCCAAACAGCAGGAGAGCCACCACCTCCACGGACCTCAAGTCTGTCACCCTCTGCACTGCTCTCGACAACACGTTTAGTCAGGGCATCAAACACTTTCCCAGAGAGCATTGAGTGGGAAGCGGCTAGAACATCACCAATGGTGGAGGATTCAGACACTACTCTCTGAATAGGAGTGGATGGGGTGCTTGGGTTGGGTTGTGAGAACAATTCTCAACGTGGCTCTTTAGGTCGCAAAGCCTCACCTGCACTGGGCAGCCTATTTGCGGCGCCTCGTAGAAATCGCACTTCAAGACTGACTGCTTGATGATGTCAGCCACAATAGTATGTGGTGACACCAAATTATCTAGACAAAGTGCATCTTTGCAGTGCGGATATTTCGTGCTTTGCTCCAGCCAACATGAAATGCACTTCGCACAAAACAAATGTTTGCAGCATGGTGTTTCCAGAGCAGCGTCTACAAACAACGAACAAATGCCACACATTAATAAACGAGAGAGCTTGGAAGCTCAGGACCCTACGCTATGCTTTTAATGTAAAAAGGCCAGAAAATCCGATTATAAGGAGATAAAAAGGAAAAGAAGGAGCAAACCAAAAGCGGATGAAGTGAGAGAAAGATAACAATCCGCAAAAAAATCTGCAAATACTTTTGCCTAACTCATATTCAAACTGATTGAAACGTTTTTGCAATACAATAGAGAGGTTTTGCATTCCGAATTTCGGAATTATTTTCGGAATGTGGCGGCAGCAGTCGAAAAAGTAGTCGAACTTTCGGAAGTGTGGTGGCGAAAGTGCATGGTTTTCCGAAAATGGATTTTCGGCTCTTTCATGTTTGGGAGTGCATATTTGAATACAAAAAAGTGTATTTTTCATGTTTGTGTTTTTGGTTTCTGCTGCTCTCGATTATTTGAAATTTTTTCCACGTACCGGGGTATGTAGTTTTGATTTTTGCTGCTCTCGCTGATCTCGCCATGTTGACTAATCTTCTCACACTCCATCACAATCTTTCTTTCTTTGCCATGGAGCCTGCTGACCGTACAAGACAGTAGTTCGCCAACCTCGTCTTCAGCTGTTGGATCACTTGGTCCACCATCAGTCCGTCCTCGTCTTCGAACCGCACCCAAATTCAGTTTGACCTGCACATGGATTTGATCCTGCTCAACCCCTTCGACGCTCTCCATTTTGTTTTGCATGGCAACCCTTGGAAACGAAGTCGAATCAGATTTTCGGAATGCAAAACACTGAAAATGCCGTTTTTCGGCACGCGCTTTTTTTGGAAAAGCACAGTCGAAAATCATTCCGAAATTCCGAATGCAAAACCTCTCTAATGATGTAGCCAATTAACGGAAAAAAACATTTCCATCAGTTCTAGTAACATGTACGATGAGCTAGGCAAAAAATGTCCTGATGTCTGTCCTGACGTTTTCTGTGACCGGCGCTGACTCTGCCGATCACGGGCGTTCTGGCCTCGACGGGATCTCTCTTCCGACGTTTCCTGTGACCGGCGCTAAATCGCCCGTTCACGCTTATTTTGGAGTCGACGAGATGTCTGTCCTGACGTTTCCTGTGACCGGCGCTGACTCTGCCGATCACGGGCGTTCTGGACTCGACGGTATCTCTCTTCCGACGTTTCCTGTGACCGGCGCTGAATCGCCCGTTCACGCTTATTTTGGAGTCGATTCTGCGTCTGTCCTGACGTTTCCTGGGACCGGCGCTGACTCTGCCGATCACGGGCGTTCTGGAGTCGACAGGATCTCTCTTCCGACGTTTCCTGTGACCGGCGCTGAATCGCCCGTTCACGCTTACTTTGGAGACGACGGGATCTCTCTTCCAAAGTATCTCTCTTCTAAAGTCTGTTTTTGCTGATTCATCCTATCACCTATTCCGCAACTAGCGTCCATTCTAATTTTATTTCCTCCTCGTCTCCCTATTAATTTTCTTTCCAAATCTCCCTCTATATCAGGGAGTCGTATACATAATACAACGAATATTGTGGCCAGCTGTTTGTGGCCAGCTGTTATGTATAATCCTGTAGAACCTTTGTAGTCACAGATACGGGACAGATACGGTAGCTCCAGGCGTGACACAAGCACACAAACAAACAAACACCAAATCACAGATATTTTGTTATTGGACAGATATGGTAGCTCCAGGCGTGTGACACAAACACACACACAAACAAACAAACACCAAATCACAGATACGGGACAGATACGGGACAGATACGGTAGCTCCTGGCGTGACACAAACACAACAACACACAAACACACAAACACACAAACACCAAACGAGAGCCAACAGCTGTTATGTACAGTCATGTAGAGCCTTACAGGTACGGGACAGATTTATGTACAGTCCTGTAGAGCCTTTGTAGTCACAGGTACGGGACAGATACGGGACAGATACGGGATAGTTCCAGGCGTGACACAAACAAACACCAAATTAAAGCTGTGTGGACCCTGGCTAGCGCCAGACGTTACTGAAGTAACGTCTTCTGCATAGCTACGGGAATAATTATTGTTCATGCTGCTCACGAAAGCGACTTGGAACAAGGTCAGCACCAGTTTTCAAGCTACCAGTCGCTTTTTCGGTGACACTGTCAACAGGAGTCGGGGTGGTGCTGATGGGGATGGGTGATGGCTTTGCAAAGGGTACCTCACATTTTGCAAGTTTGGACGGTCGTCCAATCACACCCGACCCACAAACACTACAGTTACTATCATGTGCCTCCCAAAGCTTCATTGCCCCCCCCCCCCCCACTAATCCTTGCATACCTCTCTTTATTCTCCTGAGCATTCTTATACCGTCGTACAACTGCCATGCATGACGCACAAAATAATTCAGGATATACATCAGCATTTTTTTGGTCTTTTTTAATAGTTGGAAAACAAGATTCTAACTCAGTAATATGATCCGACACAGCATATTTCGTAGAGACGCCTTTCTTCGCTATACACTCAAACGCCTCTTATCCGGACGCCTCAGATACGGGCACGTCTCTCTACCGGCCACCCTCAGCTTGAGTTCCTATGGCAAAAATGCTTCGAATTTGGGGGGTTGAACTTTTCTTCCGAATGCACAAGTGCTTATTTGTCACTCCCAACCTGTGTAATCCACACATTTTTATCCATGGATTATTTTTTGTAACCTGAACAGGTGCAATATGCGCCAAAAAAACTTCTTCAAAAATGATAGTGATACATGGTAGATGAGTTATCCTGAGATACGGGCAGTGCCCGCTCCCAAGGTGCCCGGATAAGAGACGTCTGAGTGTATTACTAAACTTACAACCACTAACACGGCACATCTGGCGAAGTAGCTCCCTATGCCTATCCATAGGATTGTTTTTGGTATTATATTTTTTTAGACAGGCAATTACAAACTGGCCTGAAAAAACAATCGTAAAGGAGCGTAAAGCTACGAGGACGACTCCTCACACAACATAAAGACCTTACCTTCGTACTCCAACAAGAACTGAAGTTTACAAAAACGAGGCACCCACACTAATAGCTGCCAGAAGTCGCTGGAGACCATCGATGACATCCACACAGTGAAGCACAAGAAGAAGAAGAGCGATCCGGCACGGACAACTATTTCGACTTCGACAATTATTATTTTCTTTTGAGAGAACAAGCTGCATGCACGTGAGTGTAAAACACCAAAACCTTCGTAGTAATCGGCCTGAAACAATACTCGGGGCCTCTAACACGACGGCAACTCGTGAGATACTTCCCTAAAACAATGAGGCTGTCAAGGACAAATTTCAAACATGTCAAGTGGTCCTCAACGCGTTCTCAGCTAGCAGGTCACCTGCGGCCTCGTAGTAGTCGTCCCTAGGCCCTGAGCCTGAGGATTCTGGCCGCATTCAATGCATGCGTAACCATGGTAACAGCCGTGACTCAGTGAACTGTACAAGTACACGCCGGGCGTTTCGCAGCCCTGGCCTAAACACTAGCACTGTGCTCCTCATCGTCTCATGGCATGCCTCATGGTACTGGCAGCTGGGCTGAACCTAGTACCTGAGGTAGGTGCAAGGACTTTTATTGAAGTAACGGTTGAGTGATCCACTGCCGCACTGGATTTCATTGAGCAGCACTGACCATTTTATTATTATTATTATTTGCCTCTCCGCGTTTGCACAAATCAACAAATCGACATAGTATACTACACATCCACCCCTAGCATTCGCTCACGATCACTCAGGCCGCTCAAAAAGCCAGAAAGGCAGAACTCGGACACTATTATTAGTAAGGAAAAGAGCAGGCGAGGAAAGGGGCACAATTTTTATTCACTACGTACAGTCTACACAATGACAATGTACATAATTATTCAGTACACCTGGCCCATGTAATGTGTACCAGACATTTGCCCAACATTGTCCCGTGATAATGAATTCTTGAGTTTTTGGACATTGTATTGCATTGCTGCTCCATCTACATTTGTATTTGTGTTTCACATCTCCATTTCAAGTTTCCTAATAAAGATCATGTAATGTGACATGGTACTACTGGTACTACTGCCTAGTACTGGTACATGTACATCAACATTTTCAAAGCCACTCCGCTTGTTTTCAGTTTACTACAAGTACAGTCATCATGTGGAAACGTTACGTTTGTCATGGTATTTTAGATATTAGTACAGACAATGTTTATACGAACTTCTTCTTCTTCCAACAACTACAAAAACAACGACAACAACAAACCTACAGCAACAGCAACAGCGGCAACAACACCACCAACAATAACAACGACAACAATGCCACCACCAACACCAACAACACCAACAACAACGACAACAACACCACCACGATTAACAACGACAACAACACCACCACGAACAACAACGACAACTACACCACGACCAACAACAACGACAACACCATCAACGACAACGACAACCACAACAGTGGCAACACCTATCGTGAGAGTAAAGATTTGAAACAGCAACCGTGATTCAACAAAACAATTCTCAGTTGTACAAGTGAAGGCCAGCCAACATGTAGCCGCGGCCCGGGCTCGTCCTACGTGGTGAAGGCCTAGCCATGGCCGCGTCGGGACATCACCATCCTCGTCTACAGAGAGCACCTTCTCACGACAGTGTTATGGTGTTATGGTGGTGACAGAAATTGTTGTCAGCTGAAGAGCGGAGAGAAGGACGCCATGGACAGAAGTTGGAGAAATAACGAAAAGAGTATAAAAGAAAGGAGAAAGAATAAAAAAAATCGGATGGAGAGCCAAGGATAACTAATTAATACGGATAACTAACTAAATTACTTGTAAACTTATGGTCCTCTAAACAATTTTAAATGAAGTTGGTTGTTCCAACGAGGAACACACGCTTCCTGCCGAACTTGACACTTGACTGACTCACGACTGCCATCCGGAGCACACGCGGAGCACGTCGAACCTTCCACTCCGAAAATCTGCAAGAAACCACTCCCTGCTCAATACACAGTGTTACGGGGAATTCACCCCTTATCAGTTGAGCTCGAGTAGGCCGAGGAAGATTGTGCCTGAAAAGCACCACATATAAGAGAGAGAGAGAGAGTAAGTTACATTTATAAAGACAGGTAAGTCTAACAAATGAGGACTGAGACCTCTACAACAGGGTTTTTACGCCTGAAAGCAGGTGCATGATTTAACAAGCAGGTTGTCAGTCTAGATTTTATGCGCAGATGGAGAAAAAGCGCAGAATTTTTGTAATGAGATGAAAAGCAGAAATAATAAGAAATAATAAGAAAAGATGAAATGAAAGCCTGCTCACAACCCCGCCCAGCCTTGCGAACTGGGTATGGTGGATTAAGAACCCGGTTCAACGCTCGAGCAAGCGCTCTCCACTCAAGGTGTTCACAGCAACTGATAGGAACTCATATGGGGAAATTATAGAAAAGAAATAATAAGATAAAGAGAATAAATTTCAACGCACCTCAATAAACGGAGCCCCACATACAGTACCTCAGAAAAGTGGATCTTCCGACCAGTGTTTTTGTTGACGCCGCAACCAGATGATGTAGCTGCTTCGCAGAGACGTCTTACTGCACAAATTACAAATAAATTTTATTCTTCGATTAGAAAATCCAAGCGCTTTCAGAGCCCTCCGAAGAGAGTCCGGGATGAAACCACGCACACCTACCTCAACCGAAAAAGAAACGACCTGCCACCCGTTTGCTCGGCATTGATCGGCCAGATCCGCATACCGCCTGTCCTTCCGCGAGTTACTGACACTGAATCTGTCCTCAGCACAAACTGTCAACTCCATCCAGAATACAATCCCGAGAGAGAGAGAGAGAGAGAGAGAGAGAGAGAGAGAGAGAGAGAGAGAGAGAGAGAGAGAGAGAGAGAGAGAGACAGAGAGAAAGAGAAGGGTGGGAGTGTGTGTGTGTGTGTGTGTGTGTGTGTGTGTGTGTGTGTGTGTGTGTGTGTGTGTGTGTGTGAGAGAGAGAGAGAGAGAGAGAGAGAGAGAGAGAGAGAGAGAGAGAGAGGGAGGGAGAGAGAGGGAGAGAGAGAGAGACTGTGCAATATGGGAAATCTCCCTATACGTTCCTAGGGCCATTGCACCATGGAACCATTCCACCATGGAAAATATATATTTGACGGTTCGGGTCAGCCTCAATCACACTTTTAAACTTTCCGCATCTGTAGAAGCGCCACCTTCCGCAAGGATCGATGTGTAGGGGATACAGCCCCAGGGCCAAGCGGTGGGAGGTGAGTAGATCAGACCTGCCAATTACATGTAGTAGTCAAAGACCGTGTGGGTAACGGCATGGTTGGTAAGTAATAGTTACTCCGTTTCATAACAAGACTTGAGCTTAGTACCCTGCCAGGGCCTGCCTCTGTTTCTCAGCCATTGTTTAGACCATCGCAATCTGCCTGGCTGAATCGGAAGGTTGGGCAAAAAACCAAAAAAATTGAGACCTTCGCCAGATTGTGAACCTCGCTGTCTGAGGTTCCGTAATGGAATATTTGACAAAACTGCCAACCTCTACTGTAGCGCTATTGAGGTGACTGAAGGGAACCAAAGAACAAAGAAAGGACGAAAGATGGGCACTTTGGCAAGACTGGTCGTGGAGCGGGAGTGACAGGTTATGCTCAGCCGCTGGTATGGAAGCTGAAGACGATGATGACGACGACAATACGGAAAGTGAAGAGGATGACGGCAATAATGTTTATTTTACGAGAAGCCACGAACCTCGAGAAACAGAATACTGCATGATAGAGGTGGCTGCAGTCGCAGCTGCGGTGGTGAAACTGGAGCATCTCCGCCGACCTGAAGTCTCGGCTTCAGCGACATTTCTCAGTGTACCAAAAAGTGCGGAGGAGTAAAACTGGGTGAAAACTGGAAAGATGATAATGTGATAGAGTAAAAAGGGGAGCCAGGGTGCAAGCGGAGAGGGTGTTCAGGGAGGGTTCAGAGGGCATCTGTGGCTGAGTGCCAGTCTCAACTGCGGAGAGACTTGTAGATGCCTTCCTTGAATGCCTGCATACCCTTCTGTGTGGGGAGGTCAAGGTTGCGTAGCAGGGCAGATGGGAGACGACTCCAGTCTTGGATCGTGGCTTGGGGGAACGATCGGAGAGCACTATTACGGGCTCTGTTGGGCAGTGTCGATGCTAGTTGATTCTGGTGCCGCTATCCTTGCTAGTGGCGAGCGGAGAAACACTACTGAAAGTGAAGAGGATGACGACGACAATAAGGAAAGTGAAGAGGATGACGATGAGCAGGAGGAAAATGGCATGGATGACGATAATTGGGAAGGTGGACGTTGTTCGGGGGCCAAGAAGAAGAATTGGAAATCAGCAGCACGTCTGCATCCGATCACTAATGAGAAATGTCAGGTAGTGGTCGGCTGATTCTGCCGGCAGAATTTCGAACAGAATCAAGGCTTTCTGGCGACGGAACAGAATTTGGCAGTGAAGCCCTTTCTTGGAGCAGAAATGTAGGCTTTAACCTGGCGAGCCAGGGAGTAGTAAAATACCACGGTATTTCACTACTCCCTGTGACAAACTAAGGATGTTATCATGCTGCCATGCACATGCACACGCACCACATAATTGTGCCATGAGCGCATCTGCACGTATCCCTTGCCCACATCACTGACTGGACTCCCAAGCGACGCCCGGTAAATCTTCCAGCAGTCTTTTAGTGACGGAAACCACTGGTGGTCGTCATGAGAAAACTTTCTGGTTACTCTGCATTGGACATCCTTGTGATGTGTGTTTGGTGATGACGGCACATCTCATCTTGTCCATAGCCTTAAACTGTAAATCACTGTCGTCCTGTCGCTTAATTAAACGTCTAGTGTATTTTGCAGAATGATTTACGCAGACCATAACGACCTTGTACATGTACATGTACATACACATGACATGAGATTGTGCGCACACACACACACACACACACACACACACACACACACACACACACACACACACACACACACACACACACACACATACACACACACACAGTGACACACACACACACACACAAACACACACACACACACACACACAGAGCCCGAGGTGATGATTGATGAATGACAATTTAGCCAATTTTTCCCCAATTAATTTTACGATGTTCTAGTCTTTGCATTTATTGTACGTCGAAGTATTAAACGGATTACTCAGAGGCTCTAGACTTGTCGACGGATCTAGCTACCTGAAATTCTAACAAGGGTCTTGAGAACTGGGCGAATCCACTGGGTGAATCCACTGGGTGAATCCACTGGGTGAATCCACTAGGCCAGGTGAATCCGCTGCACGAATGCGCCCTATACCCAATACAGACGTCGTGGTGTGTGGTGTTGATGTGGTAACAGTGCGCAACAGGCCATCCTTTTGCTGCGTAACCCTTGGCTGATAACGTGGGCAGATTTACCGACAGATTTTGGAACTGTTTCTATTTTGTTTCTTACGATGTCTGGTAATGGATAAAGGAGAGGAGGAGAATTCGAGGATTTGCCAATTTCACTGCTTTTCGCACATCGTCTGCCAATTTGGACTCTGAGCACTATTCGCCAAGGCCCTATGGTATCACATAATCGTTCCAACACCTAGCGACTGGGTTCAAATGTCCCTTATTTGTCACTAGGAGTATACATGTACAGTTATATACTAACTGTTACTGATTTGTCCACTCCCATGTTTAGAACTGCCTAGTAAATAAATTACTTAGTTACATACATGTACATGTGTGTTGATTGACAGCATGTAACAAGGTGGAGGACACCGTGTTCGGAAACAGTCAACCAATAACATATTTGAACAAAACAAGGTTTATCTCATATCATACATGTACATGTACACGCCTTTCAATGAAGTACATCGTGATACTCAAGCTCACTCACCGAGTAGTTAGTCTTGGGCGAACAGCCGTGTAGTGGTAGTGCTATTCAAGGTTCGTTGAGCAAGGGCTATGCTTCCACCTTCCATCGGTTCGACTGTTATCTGGGTCACCCACTATATCCCTGTCTCACAATCACTTCCCGAATTCTGGATTTCTTTTTTTCAAAATGGGCAATTGCTAAAACACGCCCAGCCCCAGAGCTACTGAATGAGTATGAACTGTGTTCTGTCGTGAGTTATTTTAGCTTGTGGATATAATGAGATACTCCTCTTCGACATTCCATTAGCAAGGTGTTTAGGTGCTGACATTTCTCGTCTCAAGCAGATTTCATGCTCGGTTTCATGTCTGCCTGTGGAGAATTTCCAGCGGCCCTGATATGGATGAGAATGTTTTCACTAAGCCTTCTCGTTGTGGCCATCGACTAGTGTTTCCCACCTCGCTCAGCGTTCAACACGTTTTTTGATCAGTTTGAGCAGAGCGGCTGATATGAAGTTCTGTTAGTGACAGAATGCACGTGCTAAAGGACCTCGAAATGTCACTGGCTGGATCGGGCAGAACTCTATCGAGTATCGTAGTCTAGCCTGCATCACACAGAGCTCAGTCCTGTAGTATAGCATGGACTGGTTCCGGACTTTTAGTGTAGCTGTAGAAGGTGGCGAATGAATAATCTTCTGCTAGAATGTACGCTTCTACGCACGACCGTTTGACTTTGTGGTTCTTGCCAAGCCATGATTCTGGATACAAACAAATTCATGATGTTGTGTTCGCTAGCCATTGGCCTAGCACAACGCCAAGCTGTTTACTCCTATGTATTGATGCTGGCATCATGATGATGTTGATGTGCTGCGATTGATGCACAAAACCAGTTAGCAATAACGCAGCCGACGTGACTTTTTTTTCATCAACTCAGGGTTGTTGACGAACTGGCGCAGTTCCTCCGGCGACGTGGAGCGAGATTAACCCGCAAATATAGGCACCACTGAGTGCAGTCACATGATTGTATAATAATAATTTACTACTGAATACTGTGCATTCACAACAGCCCGGACATGTCACCGCTTGACGTCCCCGCGGCCGCTACTATGGCAACGCTTAAATGGTGACAGTTCTCTGACGTGTTGCGGTGAAAGACACAGCGCCGTCGTGGTGGAAGCGCGACATCAGAGCGCTCAGAGCTGCCGGTAATCCGCACGTGGAAATGTATGTAGTTGTCAAAATTACCTGAGCTTCGGGCTGCATCGCTCCCGTACAGGTATGGAAGTTGGTGACATCAGCTGTCATTTTCATCGTGGGTCTAGGGTCGTTCATCACGTGGTGGCAGCAGTGTAAGGTATTGTTGTTGGCGTCCATATGGACCATAGAACCGTAGTCCTTGCTATTTTGACAGGCGTGCACTGACGTGAGCAAGCAGATAAAGACGCTGAGCATGTAGGAAAGCCAGCAAGGCACACTGGCATGCCAAGGTGGATGTCCAACATGTTTGTGGTTCCTTCCGGGCAGCTGCTTCAACGCCGCCACGCGCACATCTCCATGGTGTCATCACTGACATTAGCCATGCATGGGTGCTATCGGAAAGACAGCAGCTAAGCACAAGAGCGTGAACTCCAGGGCAGGTCGGAGCGCACAACCACCAGAAGAGCCAGCTGGTTGACCTTATCTCACGACGGACGTTGCGTTCCAAGGCACTCGCACGTGTAGTTCTTACACATACAGGGCTTTGAAAGATGTCAGGCGCTTGATCCACGAGCGGCTTTCCACGACGCATTACCAGTCGGATGCTGCATCGATAGTGGTGCGAACACTGTGCTTAGAGGCGAGTGCTGAATTCCGCCATTCTGAACTCTTCGATTGGCATATGTTGGTAAGGAACCTCCGTTGCGAACCTGTGCGCGGAAGCTCCGCAGGTGCTGCTTATGCCGGTGGAGGGATTGATTGAAAACGGATGCGAACGAGTGAAGGTACGAGACGATGATGTAGTCAAGTGAGTCTGAATATTGTTGTGAGTGCGGCGCGCAGTCTGGTGCGAATTCGTGTCACAATACAAACATGGCGTGGCGCGGTTTCCGTTACTCGTCACACCCGACCCAAGCAACGGCCCGGAAAACCTAGAGGGACTTCGAAACAGCCAATGCTCTATTATTAAAATACAGCGCCCCTCCTCCTGGCTATAGTTGAGCATTGCTTCGCTTTATTTCTCTACACAGCACTGAAAGACGCAGTCAGGCTACACGACTAGTCGAGTGTCTGTTATGATAATGCCTTCTTTTCAATGCTGTGGATATCACATACATTGACCCATTTTAGGATCGAGCATCTCCACCACTTCGACCAGCGTGGTCATGGATGGTCGCTACCAGTACGGCGTTGGGAGAGACAACCAATACTATCATCGGCTAGAAGCTGATCCGGAAGAAGATGGCTTCATTGCGGACTATGAGGACGAAGACAACCTAATGCCTGTACTGGAGAAGATCAAGCCAACATCCAACGGGCATGAAGGTGAGCTGGTGACTATATTGACCTTATCATCGGTAGCCATCGTCTTCTGGTAAAATGAAAGTGAGAGATTTGAGATCTCTTTTCTGCTCGTTTTAACCTTGCCTGTACTCATTGCCACTTCCATGTTTATTTTAGTATTTTTTCTTCATTTCTTACTCTTCTTACTGGTTGTCATCGCTTTCATAATATTGGGCAGAACTGCCCGTTTGACATGCGATGTAAAATAAATAAACAACAACAACAACAACGACGACGACGACGACGACGACGACGACAACAAACAAACAACAACAACAACAACAACAACAACAATAACAACAACAACAACAACAACCCTCTTATTGGCGATGGTGCCATCGTGAGAATAAAGAATTCAAATTCAAAAACAACAACAACAACAACAGCAGCAGCAACAATGGTCTAACCTGCCTACTAGCATTAAGACATGCCAGGATATCAGGAAATTCAAAGTCCAGCTTTCCACACTGTCTCATCCGAAGTGATCCCATGTATTACTAATGTGCCTCCCTTTCTTTTTCTCTCCCTATCTCCTTTCCCTCTCTGACAGCATCTTTCTTTTTATCCCTTTTAGCTTGCCGTGGTTGGCTATCACCTGACCTCTCATGTTTATTGGCAGTCTTCGGACGGGCCAGGAGATGTTGAATAAATAAATAAATAAATAAATAAACAACAACAACAACAACAACAACAACAACAACAACAACAACAACAACAACAACAACAACAACAACAACAACAACAACAACAACAACAACAACAACAACAACAACAACAACAACAACAACAACAACAACAACAACAACAACAACAACAACAACAACAACAACAACAACAACAACAACAACAACAACAACAACAACAACAACAACAACAACAACAACAACAACAACAACAACAACAACAACAACAACAACAACAACAACAACAACAACAACAACAACAACAACAACAACAACAACAACAACAACAACAACAACAACAACAACAACAACAACAACAACAACAACAACAACAACAACAACAACAACAACAACAACAACAACAACAACAACAACAACAACAACAACAACAACAACAACAACAACAACAACAACAACAACAACAACAACAACAACAACAATAGCAATAACAACTCTCATTGGCGATGGTGCCATCGTGAGAATAAAGAATTCAACAACAACGACAACTTTAATTAAAGGTGACGGAAGTGGGTCTTAGTCTCTGTGATGAGGGTGTCGAAGATTGACCCCTTTGAGCTTACTTGATCTTCTCCAAATGATTACACCTGCTCAAGCTTCATTGCAAACTTTCGAAACGCCGAAATTCGCTCTTCTAATGCAGAGTAAGAACAATGCAGATCGGTTCACTGCTAAACGCTAGAATAATCCTACACCGCAGGGTGCTCACGTCCCCTATCTATACAATGTCATGTTTCTCTCTGATTCTTGATAATTTTAACTCGGATACTGAGCCAGTAATAAATGCAAAAAAGGGAAGAAAACGCATGAGAACGAGACTTAGCTTAGGGACGTAGCTTGTGCACATTTTCGCTGCGCTCACCTTCCTCTCTTCGGTCCTACGTACTAGTACTTCTAAGTTACAATGAACCTTCCAATTTGGAACTTCCGAAGGCTGTTGGTTTGTGGACTGGAGGTGTGTTAGAGCTACATGTACTGTAGGTGTCAGGTCGCTGGATGTCTCAGTACTCTGTCAGTTTTGTGCCCTATTATCGCACTTTCTGACTGTTGATCATCTTGTTCAACAAATACAGTCGACTAGTCGTGGATAGTTGCTGCAAAACTCGTTCTCATGTGTTTTCCTCTTTTTTTTACATTCTGGATAATAATAATAATTATTATTATTATTATTAATCGGTTCGGGACCTCGGAGCTCCGAGGTCTTCTATTCAACACGATTGCCTTCTGGCCACGCTCAAATTATTCGTCACAAAACTCTCAACTGTGCCGCATGCTACGAACGGTTTCACCAGCATTTCCTAGGAGTCACAATGGTATGTAAGCACTGTTTACTAACATCCTCCGCTGCTAAAGCGTTAATACAGTGTCAATAAATCTCGCGCTTGCCTGCCTCGCAATACAGCACATTCCCTCGAGATAGAACATCGCGTTTTCACCGTCCCTAAATAGCCTGATCTGTTGTCACCCCGTTTTCCTCGCCCATCCAATTGTTGCACATTTGCATCTTCTCTGTCACTTCCTTTCTCCAGTCCTCTCTCTTTTACAGTGTGTACAGAGTGTGTACAGAGTGTGTACAGACATGTACAACATGTACATGTTGCAGTATGCCAAGTGAAGATTAGGTTTAGTCATGCTGTCTGATGCCTGATGCCCTCTTTTGCAACACTAGACTCGGACTACAGCGAGTAGAGCGACTTATTTGTTCCGATGCTGTGTGCCTGTTTCTTAAATTGGCTGAAGAGAAAATTAGGCAACCTACCTATCGATACCGGAAGGCCAGACATCGCTCATCGCATCCACCAGACCCCGTTGATAGCGGCATCTTCCCCGTCTACGCGGAGGTCAAGGTCGAGGAGCGCGACGAGACAGAGGTTGATCCATTCGAGCACCTGCGACATGGTGAGTCCTGCGTTGATGTCGTAGACCTAGGGGCGTAGCACTATGCTATCGTTCGACCATTAATTTCCCTTCCTTGTTGATAAAATGCCCATAATCAGATTAAATTATATTGCTACTTGGTCCGACTTATTAATGTGCGCTTCACTTCAAAACTCAAGCATATGTACAAAGGAGCACCTGTACTAAAAAATCAACCAAGAGACGGTAGATAGATAACTACTTTGTCGTTTCTTGGCCTGGCCTTCTAGTTTTCATCGCTGCTGGTGTCTCAGAGCGCACCTGCAAGTGCGTCAACCTGCAAAACGTCGACATTTTTTTCATCTCCTCCAAGCTACACTGCGCTTCCTTTATTTTTTCACTTCATAGGCACGATTTAGACGATCGACTTCGCCTCCTCCTCGTGCAGTACGACTGCCAGAATGGTGGCTGTAGGTGTTTTCGCCTGACGCTCCCACGACACCTTCAAATGAGGCGAACAAGTAAACCACCAAGCGTAAACAATCTCAATCACTTCTCATCAACGTGTTCCGCGCGCGTACTGTCACTTTGAGTCTGATCTGTGTCGGCATGTCATGCAGTCAGACCATGCGTGCTCTTCCCTGCCTGTTTCACGAATCCACTGGCCCCGCGCCCGCGGCCCGGAGGGCGGAGACTGGCGATCTTGTGACGCATCGCGATCGCGGCCCCGAGGACTCCGCACCGTATCCGCGGGATAATTCACCCTTTCTGCGCTTCAGTTTTCCAGCCAGGTTGTCGCCTGAAAGTCGACCTCAAGGCCGGTTATTTATTTCGATCAACTTCTCGACGATCTCTTCTGTGATCTTGATTCGTCGGCCGCCACATCGTGAACGACTGCGAGAGAGATCAGCAAACTGGAAGGAGCGATTAGGGTGCTTTCTGCACGAGTTTCTGGATAACGCGTTTGCTGAAATTCTGCCAAGGAAAGAGCGATTGCAGCGATTTCAATCCGCCAGGAGGCACTCGAGAACGATCGCCCAGGAGTTTCTGGTACTCCGTGACAATCCCCCATCGCAGTGGGGTGTTGATTTCAGCACCAGGCCTTCTCTGTGGTGCGCGAGAAGCAACAGGAGTCCTCTGACGACAAAATTTGGACGCAAAATGCTCTAGTCGACTAGGATCCTGAGCCGCTGCCTCCTTTGGAGTTGGAGCCATTTCTTCTTCAACATCACAAATTGACAACTGAAGGATAGTGTTAGGTAGCTGGAAAGTTTATTCCGTCCTGAGATTATTTGAATTTGTTTGGTTGACGTTCGAAGCGAAACGCACATTTTAATAAGTCGGACCAAGTATGCGTATACCGTAATATTATTTCAGTGTGCTGAAGAAATCAAATTGCTAAAGAATCAAACACTACGTGGAAGTATGTAGCAGACGTTTCAGAGATTATGGGCTCGGAAATAATTATGATCATGTGTACTTATGCAATAAAGTTCTGACCAAGAAAGAACTGTGTCGTTTCGAAGGAATTACTTTTTCGTATTTCCACGCCTTGGGATACGAATACAGTAACGATGCGTGGTGAGAGGGTTAACATTCCAGGTGGAGAATGAAACGAGAAACGAAAGACGGAAGCTTGAATGGAAGCATACGGTAGAAAGGGCCTCAAGAGTAATGAATATAGTCGACGGAATCCGCATAGTCCGTTTTTAATTGTGCCCAGGTGCTTGAAGATAGATGAAAATGTGAAGGAAATCAATGATGATCACTGGTTTAAAAACCTCATGGTATCAGCCATAGAGTCAGGTGACACTTTGGCAATGCATGTGCTGGTGGCAGGGCACTCGTCTTTCGTCTTCACTGGAAAACCACGTACCACAAGAGCTTTTACCCAACTAGTAAATAACTGAGTTGAACAGGGGCGTAGAAAACAGTGAACGGTGGGCATGGTATGTTAAACGTACTAGTATGGTATTGTATATTATTTCCATGGGCAGCTTGAGCCAATACGAGTATGCAGAGAAGATAGGAGATTTGGTAAACATAGTTGACAAAGCTCTGGGAAGTACTATGCCATTGCGAGTGTCCCGTGCGAAAGTAAACCAATTATACTTGGTGAGATGTTCAGGGACAATGTTCAGTCTAATACGATGGACCAGAACGCATGACTGTCTCTGCGACAGGATAGAGATGGGGCTGGTGGAGGCCAAACTATATACATGTAGATCAGTAGAGGGGAAAAGAGAGGGTTTACGAAAAATGATTTTCAACACACGTTTATGATATATTTCTAGTGTCTGTACAGCAGATTTACTAAGCAGGGAATGCCAAGCAGTGGCGCCGTACAGAAAGATAGGAAGGAGGTAGCATTTATAAAAGAGACGAATACATTCGGGGGACAAGTGGGAGCAGTGAGACATCAGGCAACCTACAGATTTGCTAACTTTGTTGAATACAAAATCTACGTGAGAATTCCAGGACAATTGCGAGTCAAATACAACACCCAAATGCCTGTGCGTATCTACAATATTTATGTTAATAGCCGAATCAAGTCCGGGAAGGGTAAATGTCGGAGGGTGGTCTAGTTGAGGGAGAAAGACTATTTCTGTTTTCAAGATATTGGGTTTCAGACGCCATGACAGCATCCATAATGAGGGCTGTGTCATCAGCAAATAGTGACAAACCATCTATACAGTCAGGTAGATCGTATATATACAACAAGAATAGTAGAGGCCCCAGTATAGATCCCTGGGGGACTCCTGACTTCACAGGCAGTGGGTCTGAGAGTATCCCATCGACTGACACTGATTGCGTTCTATCTGTTAGGTAGTCCGTAATCCACGCCAGAGACGCTCCGGAAACATTGTACATCGCAGATAATTTAGCTAGGAGTCCACGGAACCATACCGTGTCAAACGCCTTTGCTACATGTAGGTCGAAAAACACATACCAACATGTTGGTGGTCATGACGAAGGGCCACAATGTCCTGCACAAGGCGTGTCAGCTGCATGGTGGTTGAGTCTCCTCGTCGAAAACCAGATTGGACTGGGGCAAGGGCCGGCGACACATGAGCATAAAGCTTATCAAAGAATAATCGCTCATTATAGTTTCGATACACAGGACAACAAGGAGATAGGACGGTAATTGCTGGCTTGTGACTTGGAGCCTTTGCTCTTGTAAACACATGTATATCTCATTAGAAAGTACAGCGTACAGTGTACTACTTCGAAGTACCTTTATACCTATACTATACTTATAGGTCTAAATCTCGAGTCGCCACTGTAAAAGAATAGAATGGTGTGAAGGTTGCAGAGCAGCTGATACTAGAGCCTTGAGTGTTGTATACACCCTGGCCGAAGACAAATTTAGCAGATCACTGATGTTGCAGGATTTGTTACCATCATCATTTAACCCACATTTGAAATACATTATACACATCACATACATGTACATGTACATGTAAAACAGAGAGGTTCCAGGCTGTCCAAGAGAGTGCTCAATACCGAGTGGTAGAGCTGGTTCAAACAATAGGAGGACAGAGAAAGAGCATCGTGTATAAGGCAAGAGTCACCGCAGGTATGGAGAAGAAGGAGTATACTGGATTAACAGCAACAACATTCAAACAACGCTACTATAACCACCAATCATCATTCCGCCACAGACAACACGAGAAGGACACCCGCCTATCGCAGTACGTCTGGGCCAAGAAGAATGAAGTGAAGGCATGCAGCATTCAATGGGCGGTACACCGCAGAGCAGCGGCCTACAGGCTACAGCAACGAAAGCAAAAGGTGCAACCTGTGCCTGGCGGAAAAATATTGGTAATCGCGCAAGCACACAAGCACCTCTCTCTCAACAAAAGGAGTGAGCTTGTGTCAAAGTGTCGCCACGAGAATAAGTACTACCTTCGGAACTTCAAACCATCCACAGCCATCACCTAATTAAAGGGGAAGTGCATCGATTTTTCGAGTATGGTCCACAAGAAACTGTTTGTTAGTAGTCCTCTCGGTTGTGTACTGGGACGTGACACCGACAGGAGAAAGCTGGAGTGCGGAGACACCAGCAGACAAGCGAAAATAGTGATGAACAAAATGCTGAAATCTTGGTTGGGACAAATCAGACGTTCAGCATTTCCCCCAACCAAGGACCATGCCGTTTGCTCTTTCCACTTCCTGAAGATGAATGTGATGCTTCCTGGCGACTCTCCTATCTCTCGTAACATCAAGCCAGGTGAGACGACGGGTGGTGGAGATTGACGAATGAAATAATGTCGTAGGTTTGAAAGTTTGCTGAAAATGTCTCAGGAGAGATGGCTAATTCCAAGCATCTTGTCCTGGAGGAAACCATTTCCTAGGCACAGTCAGCCTAGGGAAATGCATGAGAAGGGCGATAAATAGTTCACGGCACTAACAGCATTGAACACAGCACTTCTTTCACATCGTGAATACAATAAGACAATTGAAAATGACCAATTTCTGCAGTGATCGACCTTCTCTGTGGAGGAGCTAAGCCTTTCATACGTCATCACTGCGCTGGTCGCTATGGCAACGTGAGCATACAATTGGCGATTTGGCAAGTTTGGCTTATCGTATGGAAGCGAGAGATTTGCCATTCGAACCGATATCAAATTGTCGTTCTTCTGGACCCTAGTCGAAAAATCGATGCACTTCCCCTTTAAGCAAGACACAACCGGCTCCAGTGGTTGTCACCTTTCACCACTGCTGTCATTCACACTTTTAGATTTGCCCCATGATGCAGTCAGTTACGCTTTGCACTGCCGCCATTCACAACTTTTAGATTTGCGCCATGCTGCAGCTATTTACACTTTGCTTTGTGAGTATATAAACCAATACTGATCCAGATTTCCCATTGCTGTTTTCTGATGATCGCTTAGTGCGTGAAACTCGGAGTAAAAACACTTTCTCTGTCCTCTTATTGTTTGTTTTTACATGTACATGTACATGTACATGGTTGTAGTTCTGAGGGTACTGTAGGCAGAATTTGGGGAAGGCTGAGGAATGTATTATATGAAGCCATCCTC